TATCCGTCGCGCGACAGAGGACGCTATCGATCACATTTTCGCGAATCGCGAATATCGACGCTTCGAAAACGAAAGCTCGAAATCGTCGAGCGCTCGAAGCGGGAATTTCGAATCACGGGGTGGCGTTCGTGCCGCCAAGTATCGCATATCATTAAAAAGAATGAAGGATAAATCGTAGGGAAGACGACAATCGAGAGAACTCGGGATCCCGGCGCGTTCAAACCGATCCGACGCGAAGTTAACCTTTCGAGGGTGCGTGCTCGATGCGTGCGCAGATCGGACGGACTGTCATAATTACTGCGCACGCAGGACCGCGTTCACGTTTGAGAAACGCAAGGGTCGACGAAACTTCGCGAATCCTTGTCGTTCCGTCACCGTCCCGCCACGTCCCTTCGTAAGGCTGTCAGTCAGCTGACATCGCACTGTCGTCGATTGTCACTCCCGTGATCGTAACCGAACGCGGCTCGCGGACGCGAAAATAAAAACAATTAGCCGGGGTCGCGCGTGCTACCTGTTTTAAAAGAAGTGTGCGCCTGCCGCACAAGTCCATGCCGCACTGCTAGGCAGCGGTCAGGTGTTTCTAGCAGCCGCCACGCGACATCCCCGCCATCTGTCGACCTATCACCGAACAAGCGCCGTCGCGCGTAAACCACTGCCGCGCTTTTTACGCACGCGCTCCTTACGTGCATCACGTGGTCGCTTCACTTCATTCATGGAGTCCACGGGTCCTTTTATACTACACGCGTAAGGGTAAACAGCTGCACACCGGAGCTGGACAAAATGACGATGGTAGAAATTAGAGATTATGGTTTTAAACGCGTACTGCATCTCGTGTATACGAAACCCAATGCCACGTGCATTAGCGAATTAAAAATTCGTGTTTTGAATACACGTGTAATTAGGTATTTTATTATTCGTAAACATAGACGTGATAAATGGGAATATTGTGAAAGCGTTAGTATTTTGTATCTATATCAAGATAGAACGTAAATTGAATAAAACTATTTTTAAATAATTAGAATACATTACTAATACAGACACTTGGTCGTGAGAAAGTTGTAACGATTAAGTGGAGATATCATACACGCTTGTTAACGCATTTTATACTTTTTGTCTGTTCTCGACTACGGTCGCAGTTTAACAAATATTGTATAAGAGGTAATACATTATGCATTTACTTGACCCGCGCGGAAACGACGTGTTAATAAACCGATTTCGATGCCCTGCAGGATCTCTTATAAGAATGCACGCCATATAACCAGCGTTTCTTCGAATCCGGCGACCAATGGGAAAAAATCGGTTCAAGAAGAAATCCAAAGTTCGCAAAACCAGACAATGGAAATACCGTAACGTGCAATACCGTGACTCGAACAAACGAATTACAATAATGGCGGCCATGACGATTGAAGATTTTAAAGGTTTCAAAGGTCAATTTCGAAAAATGACCTACGCCAAAATTATTTGGCTTGGAGGCTACTGGGAGAAGCGGATTGGAATCGCGTCTTACCACCTCTTTACCAAGGTGACCGTCCTTTGCAAGGTAAAATCACGGTTGCAGTCACGTAAGCGCGGCCCTCCGCGAAGAGGACACGGATGCCTCCGTCTACCGGTATTTAATTAAGCCCGGTCACCCGAGAAAAAAGTCGTTGGTACAGGAAGCGATGGGTTTCGAGTACGCGATCAGCGGACCGTAGTTCGAGCCCCGTTACGGGACAAACTCATTGGCGTAGCCGTAATCGGCCAACCGGTGGGCCATTTCGCGAAACGTCACGACACGATGTCGTACCGACGCTGTTGAAGAATGCCGGTGCAACTTCTCCCCGGTATTCCGAGGGATCGCGAACTATGTCGACCTTAAAAATTTTCGACACGCTGCGAGAGAGTAATGGTCAGAGCGGTCACCAGCCCCGTCTCTCTCGCGCGTCTCCCTTTTACGTTCCGTCTCGTTCTATCTGTCCACCACAAAAGGCAAACGATCTCCTGTTTTTCACCCCGACAAGGAAATGGACGGTCGATGCACCTGGAGTCGTAGGTCGATCGCGATACATGATCTGTGTTCGGTGGACTGTTCGGGTCCGGGTGCACGGAAGCGATCCCGCTGTATAATGCCCGCGTCACGACGAGTTCGTGATTCTATTGGGTTGGTCAAATAGTCCCCTCGCATTTTTTCAGGAAGAAATTCGAACATAAATCTTGCATACAGAGTGATTCTAGAAACCGGGACAAGCGAAGATACGAAAAGATTTATGAAGGAAAAACTTAATTTTTTCACGTAAATCGATTGCACTCATTATTTTGCACATAAAAGTGTAAAGTCACGACCATTGAAAACGCAATACTTTACGAGATATGTTATAAACGTATCACCATGATCGTTTAAACATTTCATTTGCACTAAACTTGAAGATGTTATGCCTACGTAAGCCCAATAAAACATGATAAAGAAATGATTTTTTATGCTGTTTTTTAAATCAATTCATATTTATCGTATATAAACAAGAGACGCGAAAATGCAGAATGAGATAGAGGACTTGTTTTGTATGGAAGTTAGGGTCACGCAATTTCGGTATAATGTCTAAACCCGATGCTACGTACCACCGAAATTCTTCTATGCTTCTTTACTTTACTCGGTTCTTTTTTCAAGCCTTGGGGGACATATTCTCCCGAAATCCGGTTCTACTGGTTTGGGGTTAGATACGAAGGTGAAGTTTAGCTGCCGTGGCACGAGAAATCGGTACTTCGACTGATTACTATACCGCATTACACCGTAATAGACTAGGCTTCCTACCAAGCTCCCATGTCGCAGATAACAAGACTTAGAAATTAATTAAAATCCCGTAATAACTTTAAATAACATTCTGCTTGAAGGACTGTTTATAGTATGAATTATAAATGTCCACGATATATTTTATAATATGCCATCATACCTGAAAACTGAATAAACATCTAACAATAAGTTCTAAACCACTTAAAACAACGTAAAACATATACTCCACGCTAACTCCCAAGGAAAATAAAAGTATCTTGTTTTTTTAGACCAAAGGGAAAGTACATGAATATACAAATGAAACTACCCAGTACATGCTAATTAACGTAACCCACATAGTCAAGACGCGTAAAAGCTTCGTGAATTAACAGAGAAATGATATGTAATCAATCATCCTCGTCGTTGCCTCGAACCTAATGTTATTTAAAATAAAAAAGCTTCAAGGAACATACACGAATCGTCAGGTGTATTTGTACGAAAGAAAAATAAATGAAATCGAAAAAAGTATTTTCTAACGCGGTTATCCGACAAGAATCAGTCGTTCGTTTTAAGATTCCCTTTCTCATTTTCGCCTGGAACGTACGAATAAATGAAGGGACATTAGCGGCGCTCACATTAGAGGTTGTCGTGTGCGTCGAAGGGGTGAAATTTATTACTTAAAATTGGTTACAAAATACGCCATAATTCTCGTTTAATTTATGACCGTACCGGCAGTGTTGACGACGCAGCCTGTGAATACTTCTCCCTCATATAATATTATACATACGAGGGCAATACGCGGGACCAACTGCGTTTAAATATTCATACGCGATGCATCATGATACCATGCATCAGTTCGCGGCTACGGCCATTATGGACACGAATTCTACGCAGTGTGTACACACTGTTATCCGTTTCTTTTAGTAAATTCTCCGGTTACCGTTCCTATTAATATTCTTAACGCGCGATCTGCCTAACTCTTGCATCGATGCAATGAAAAGAACATTTCAAACATAACGTTAACTTGCACCAGATCGATATAAACTTTACAAAAATTATTCTCACGCTTTAAAAAAAAAAAGGGGGAAACCTCGATTAACTGGTATCCAATTATTCGATTATCTAGGTTCTACTGTATTTACTTATCAGAATTGTCATTAATATGTAAATATTACACTTTTAATGTCACGAGACAAACGTTTCACCCTGTATACGAAAGCTTCGTGCAACGAACAATTTCTCCTCCTCAACAGGTTGTTAATTCCTACCTGTGCGTCCCTGCGCTGTAGGTTTAATTAAAAATCGAGCTTGTCGGAATATCAGAGAGAAGAATAAATTTAACGCGTACGAACCATTAATTAACGTCCTATTCGCCGACTCTCTTGTCGTACAACGTGAACGTTCGTGTACGCAAAACTTGCTTCCAAAAAACGTTTTCATAAGTGAACCGATTTGTATATTTTATGCTCGTATAGTATGTGAAAAGCGACAACAGTAGTGTGTAAAACATGCTTAATATATTTTCATTGGCACGGCAAAACTCGACTACATGTCTCTGCGAAAATTTTAATTACTCGTAGAAAGAAAGAGAATACGAACATAAGATCGTGTCTGCCTTTGTTTAGACTCGAATAATAAGGCTTAGTAATTAAAATCGACGTCTTAATTCTCCAAAACTATTGAGAGGAAATAGGAAAATACAAACACAAACTCTTTCTAATACATACAATGGCGACCATTTACTTACGTATCTAATTATAATCGACTAACGTAATATGATTTAAAGAAAGAAATATAAGAAAATCTATAAATTTTCGAAAAATATCAATGTACAATTACGTAATTACATAAGTACGTGATTTCAACTTGAAACAGGAAGTGGATACGGCGGACATAATCAAAGAATTTGATAACATACGGAAAATAATAACAAATGTATATAATAAAATATTTTAAATAATCAGTTCATTTCTCTGCATTTAAATCATTATTTTAAATGTTCGTGATTTGAAGATATATGTTAATATTAAATACATAAAAGTCATTAATTGACCTTTAATATGAAGATTCAAATAATCAGCAGATCTTAAATTACATAATGTAAATACTTATTATATTTGGTTTGCATTATCCCATGTATAAGAAATCTCTAGTTACATAATTATATGGAACCTTAAAACATCAAATTAATACTCAACAATACATAAAACATAATTAACTTGCAATATACTCAAAGCATATATGTAACAATGAATTATAATATGTGGCACTGACAACGAAAGCACTCTTTAGTACATTTATAAGATTTCATAAATTTAAGTTCTGGAGATGATTGTGCAGGACCTAAATTCAAAGAATCTTCACTTTCTTCGCTAAGTTCCTCGATGCTAAATGTATCAGTCAAATCTTGTTTGTGCTTTGAAGAATCTTTTGACTTGGATGTTGGAAAGAGGGTCATTTCACCTTCACTATGAAATAGAGGCATTATATTTAAAATACTTAATTGCTAATACTACACATGTATAAGCCTACGTTTACCTTTCACTATCACTATGCCAGTATTCGACAAGAGGAAGATGCTCTTTACTTTTAGTTGGTACTGGAAGCCTTTGAATTGATATCAAACCAGTAGTACCATTACCATCACCACATCCCTTATCATACTTTGACAACTTGATATAATCTGATTTACGCTGAATACGTTTTGCCTGCTCGATCCTTGCCTCTGTCCAAGACAAGAAATGTATAATAAAAACTACAAGCGACAATGTGCAAATAAACAATAAAGAAGCACAGTAACAGTAATACCGAGTTTTTTTTGTAGCTGTTTAGTAGTGGAATTATGTTGAGATGTTTGTGTCTGATTGCTGCTACAGCTACTATCACTTCCCTAAAATATTATGAACTATTTATTTGTTTACTAACTTCTATTCTGTTTATATCCTTTTAATAACTTTAGTTGTAATAACACGGTTGCTTAAATTTAAATACATATAAGTTATAGCAAATTATATATTTACCAAAAAAAGTCTTTCATCTTCTATACGACTAACACTTTTTGGGTCACTATCAATTCCGCTATCTTCCATCACAAAATAAAACTTTATATTAAACTAAAAACTTATTCTCTCTACTCATCTGGAATTAAATGCAAACCTTTTAACATTCAGATTCAAAAATTTGTTACACATAACCATATACAAGTATAACAATTTTTTATGAAATAACTAGAAAAATAATACCTCTGAACATTTAAACATTTAATAACAATGCACAAATTTCATTTATAGTTCACACACTGTCATATTTTGTATACAGATACATTAAGAAGGTACTTAAAAAACAGCAATTTATTCTGGAATATAATATAATGTACAAATATTATATGTTCTATCATATAATAATATACTTAATAACATATGGTTTCCAAATTTTTACTCACAAGTATTTGTAAATTATTCTGTCTTATCTACAAGGAGCAAGCATGCTTATATTATCATGGTATGTTCTATTATTGATTTTCTTTCATCTATATAACTACACAGAGTATCTTAACATTATTGCCTACAATTTCAAAAAAATGCACACAAACTCATAATTATTAAGCAATATTTTATACTTCACTATATATGAAATATATGTTAAACAATTTTTAAAATTTTAAATAACAAAATATTTTTTAACTTGTGATTAAGATTATTAGAAATGATTTTAAAACTTGTAACTTGTTTTGCAAATACTAATAGTATAATTACAGTACATTAATATGTTATAACATTTTATTTGAAGCAAATATTGTACAAATGCTACTATAGCATTGTTTCCTAGGAAACCACAACTCATTTCTTTACATTTTCTAGAAATAAATAAGACATAGTGAACTTCAGTTTATTTTTCATATACCTACATGTTTATTCTATCCAAACAGTGCTTTCTATTTGCTAAATATAAAAACTAATTTAGTACATACAACAAACAACTAAAAAATTCCATAGTCTCTTACACATACAAACATATTAACACTCTTTTTTTCAAATTGTAAGAATTTTAACAAAATCTATTTTTAATACAGAAACAAACATTCATATTATTGTAAAAAATATTTGAAATATATGAAGGCATAGATTAAAATACATTAGTGTTTTTTTTTTTTAAACTTAACGTTTTGAATAATCATGACTGTAATATGTGCATACTGAAGGGTGTTATATTTTTATATGCAGTTGAGTAATAGATAATTTGCAAAGTAAGAACAATGCGGTCATCATCAACTAGGAGAACAACTTCCAGAGCAGTGTCTGACACTCACAAAGACCTACCAAGAGTTAGTATTTCATAGTTTTTGTATAATTCAAAATTTGTATACTAATACATTGTACATATTTAGCACACAAGTACTATGAAGAGTCGTTATGAATTAGGTGGTGGTGATGTAGATTGGATGCGTGGAAGAGTTTATCTTAAGCCGGAAGATCAATTACAGTTATCAGAAGAAGTATGTTTAATATCTTAATGATCAATAATACCAATATGGTTTAAATTTTATCTATACTCTTAAACAAGTATTATAGTCTATCTGAACATATTTTCTATAATATTTATTATTAGTATCTTTTATTTTTTGTATGTGCTTATTATTAAAAAATAAAGTAACATATGATATTATAAAATTGTAGGAATTACAAGAAGAATTTGCAAGAGTTCTAACTATACATAATACGCGAGTTCCAGATTCTTTGGTTGAATGGTCATGGAAATTAAAAGAATTTATAAAATTACCTCCTCCACCACACTTAGTAACTCTTTTAAGTGTGCCTGGAATAATATTACATAAAGATTCTGAGGAAGCAAAAATACAATTAGCAGGTGGACTTGTTGGTAAGACTATAAAACATAGAAATCATTTATCATACTCATAATTTAATACTTTAGTAAACTATACAATTTTTTCTTTTTATAGTTGAAAGTCATCATGACGTAGTACCTGTACTACATGAAGATGAAGAAGAAGAAGGTGAAGAAGATGAAGAAGAAGGGGAGGAAACAGAAACTATGAAAGAGAAAGATGGTGATTTGAATGGCCTAAAGCATAAGAGAATGTCACAAATTTTAATATACATTTCTTACAAAATATTTTATAATTACAGATGAATTAACAAAAGCAGAAGAAATTGAACATGAAGAAGAAACTGTACAAGAAGAAGAACACAAAGAACCTGAACCTGACATTGAACCAGATGAGGAAGAGATGGAAACAGTAAAACCTAAAAAGATACCAAATCAGTTTAATTTTTGTGAAAGGGCTGCTTTGACTTATACTAATCCCATGCGAGTAAGTTTATAAAAATATAAATTTAATAAAATATACTTTCTATTGATTCTATACTAATTTCATAGGAAATGAGTACACAAACTGTACCTCCACCAACAGCATTATTTAATGCCCATGTTTTCCAATGGACAATCTTTGATGAATATCAAGTATGTATTTTTTATTTTAAATTAAACACGTTAAAATACATATATGAATGATATATTTATGTCTTAGAAAGATTATGCTCAAAAAGAACGTGAAAGAGAAAAAGAAAAAAGAATTCCGCTTCTACCATCAAAAAAGGAGGATTCCAAACAAAAGGCTCAAACAGAATCCATGGCATTAACATCAAGAATGTTACAAGCTGCAAAAACTTTAGAACGAATGGTGAACCAAAATATTTTTGATGATATAGCTCAAGGTCAATATTTTTCTTAAATAGTTATATTTCGTTGAATAAGATATACACGTACATATTTCTAGATTACAGATATTGGGATGATCCAAGTGATGAATTTAAAAATGAAGAAGGTTCATTATTGCCCTTATGGAAATTTAGTTATGAAAAGACTAAAAAGCATGATGTCACAGATTTATGTTTTAATGGCAGATATTATGATTTGTTTGCAGTATCTTATGGAACAAGTTAGTAAAAGTTAGGTAATTTTCAATATGCCATAACTACATATGTATACATGTATGATGTTTCAGTGTCATTTAATAGTTCAATAACAAATGGAAAAGTGTGCCTATTTAGTTTGAAAAATCCATCATATCCAGAATGGATCTGCCCAATAGATTCTCCAGTAATGTGTTTATCTTTCAGTGAACAACATCCACACCTTCTAGTTATTGGTAAGACATTCAAAAGACTCAACATACATATTTGCATAACAATAAAATTGATCTCCATTTTTATGATTAAGGTACCATGGATGGTGCTGTAGCTGTGTATAATGTCATGTTACCACCAACAACTCCACAATATAAGAGTAATGATGTTACTCAAAAACATGGGGGTATAGTATGGGAGGTTTGTTACAAACATACATAAAAATAGTATACTTTTTTATAATTATTCAAAACTTCTATTCATTCTTTGATTCAATATTTAAGGTATGTTGGGCACCAGATACAGAAGAAGGAAATTTGGCATTCTACAGTGTCAGCATTGATGGAAAAATAAATTACTGGATATTAAACCAAAATGATCTTGGTTTGACAACAGTAATGACACTGTTCTTAGACAGACCTCCAATAGCTGGTCCAGATGGTACTATGATTACACTTAAAGGTAATAATATTTAATACAAACATTCTTATCCCATTTAACACTATAAGTCATACAAACAGCACTTCTATATTTTTTCAGGATGTGGAACATGTCTTGCATTTCATCCTGCAGATCAAAATGTATTCCTTGTGGGAACAGAGGAAGGAACAATTTATAAATGCAATACAGCATATAGTAGTGTTTATATGAAGACTTATAATGAAGCACATAACATGCCAGTATACAGAATAGTATTTAATAAATTTAATTCTAGCATATTTGCAAGTTGTTCAGGTGACTGGAGGATAAAAATATGGGAAGATAATAGAATGTAAGTTTGTATTATTACTTAGCATAACATTTATTAAATTTAAGTTGACTATATCCTTTGTACATACAATAAAATATTCAGACCATCAAATATGAAATACTTCTAATTTATGCTAATCAATGTACACTAACAATATCATGTATGTAAAATATATTTTCTATAGGAAACCTTTATTTATGTTTGATCTTGGTGTACCAATTGGAGATGTTCAATGGGCTCCATACAGTTCAACAGTATTTGCTTGTGTTTCAAATGATGGAAAAGTTACAGTATTTGATTTAAATGTAAATAAATACAGGCCAATATGCAGTCAACCAGTTGTTAGTAGAAAGAAAAATAAACTGACCCGTATAGCATTTAACAATGATTTACCATTTATTATTGTTGGTGATGATAAGTAAGTATGTTCTAGATACAAAGTAAAATAATAACTTAAACCTTATACTGCTCTATTATCTCTTGATATATTTACACTCCTTGTTCATTTTACATTAACAGAGGGACAGTCACTACATTAAAATTGTCACCAAATCTCAGAATAAAAGTGAAACCAACAAAAAGGCAACTTCATCTAACACATCGAGAATTAGAAATTATGAAATTGGAGAAATTATTAAGTTTTGTACGAGAACCATCTATATTGGTACCACCAGAAGATACAAGAAAAGCAAGAAATTAAATGATTTTTTAAGAAAATAAAAAAGTTGTATGTACGTATATATTTTGTTTCGGCTATTCTTCCAAATAGCAACCGCGGCCGATCGACATGAAATTTAAAAGGAAATCTAACTACAACGATGCGAGGGTTATTACGCAATGAAGTTGTTTGTGTAGCGTATTGTATATGTTTAGGTGGTGGTATAAACAATTTCCAACATTTTTTTTTATTAATATCTTAGAACTATTTAATTTCTAAAGTTTATATTTGGCGACTATTCTCTCTGCTTCTTCGCCCCACCCTACCAAATTTCATATCGATTGGCCATGGGTTTCATTTGGAAGAATACCCTTTGTTTCTCATAATATATTTTATTTGTATGTAGAAATTTTATAGTTTTACTTATTTGTTGATTATATCTACGATTATAACATGTACATTTTTTAGAGAACAATAAGAAAACGAACATATGTTCGTTTAAATATTTACTTGAAAAAATAGTTCTCTAGCAAAAAAATATACAATACTCTCTTTTTGTAAACATCAACATTTTATTAACATTTGCTATAACAGAAAATACATGTTAATAATCTATATCTTTATAAACAAATTGGCACTAAATTTAGAATACATTAAAAATATTACTACAATTTACAAATTTAAATTTAGTATCTAGATTTACTACAACATGTGTTTCCTAAACTAGAAGCAATTATTAATGATTATGAACTACTTTAATTTACTGCTTTGTAAATAGAGTTATTTATGTTAATGTTTCTGCAATTCCATACATATACCGTATAACAGTACTGGCATAGCTTCATAATAGAAGACTACTTTAAAATATCTTTAAAGAATAATTTCGTGATTTCGAAAATGGCTTATACGAATTATATGCGAACAGTAAAATCGTTTACATATATCTAAGAAGGAGAACAAATGAAATGTATGTATATATGTAAATATAGAAATATAAATTTAATAAGAAAAATTTGTAATAAAAATATGGTAATGGTAAAACTGTACTGTTTTTTTCAAATAAAACAGTTTTGTATATGCATAAGAATCTTAAATTGGTGACACAAATACTTTGTATAAACTTAATAATATCAAATGTTATCATTACATAAATCTTATTTTCTGATATTTCAGATATAGTAAACACTGGTTATCACAGTGTCTCTCATCTCTTTTCAAAATATTAGAATCGTTATTACATAGTTATATAAGTTACAATCATACACAAATATTTGTTATATCTTACAGCAAATCCACTATAATCAAACTTTAAATATGAAATTATCTGATATTCAATTTAGATATGTGTTTAAATTAAATACTTTTTAAAAGAATGACATATATAGAGAGAAGAAGAATATATCACAGTAACATCAATCATCAACAGTTATAATTTATATAATTAGATATTAAAAGTATAAGATATAACAAAATTAATAAAATAACAAAATGTTTTTTATATCATTGAATACTGGTGGTTGTTATCAGTACTATGAAAAATAATACTTATGAATTATATAAAATAATATGTGCAACAAATTGAACTAAGAAACATATAAAAATATAAAAAATAAGAAATATCTTTTATAATATAAGAGATTTTTATATTTTTGGCACACCTGTGGTATAAAAAAAAAATTAAACTGAATAATTTGTTAATATTTTAACTAGTAATATACAAAAATGCATTTGCAAAAAATTGTAAATAAAATGCTACATTTCAAAGTCTATCTTTCTTATTACTTGTCAAATAACAAATTTCAATATTATGTTTCAAATAATATAAAATTTTTTTTAGGAACTTGTGACAATATCTGACAATTTATTATTAATAAAATGAAGTAAAGTGTAGTAAAAGTATTTAAATGCAATTCAAAATTTTAATCAATGCCTACAGAGCAATTATAAATCTGGGAAAATATATAACACCTACATTTTTAAGAACATTTCATTAAACCTTCCTTTTATTTTTATATTGAAAACCTTGCCAAATTAGTAATAACTCTTTACTTCGCGATACACTTGTATCACCTTTTATAAAATATCGGAAAATAATAGTTTTCATCTGAAAACACTACAATGCAGTCCTAACTTCATTTCTTAGTAGAAGATATTAATTCGGATATTTAAAGTGGTACGAAAAAATTGTAAAATCTTATTATATTTGTAGATAATTACTGCTTATATGATTTAAATTACATGTTAAGTAAAGAATTGTTTTGTATTTCTAGCTGCATTCATATCGTTTGCTATAAGATTAAATTTCAATAAATATAAAATCTAGAAGGAAATTTTCCCAGGGAGTTCTGGATTTTCTATCACACCTTTGAAATACTTCAATTCTAAAAAATCTCTAATATTGTTCGGGCATGGCACTTGTCTACCAGCAAATTCAATACTCGACATTGGATGAAGAAATTGTTCTGGAAAATCCCTATGATTTAAAAACCATGCATCTTTAACCATAGAACCGTTTCTTGCATAATATGGAAGTATGTTCACATTCAAATGATTTGTCTTTGAATACTGCACTTTAAAAAATTCTCCCTCTGTTGCCTTTATCCAGACAAAACCATGATTATCAACAATGGGTTTATTCATGGCTTTAATTAACCATGGTGATCGTTCGAGATCATCACGATTTACTCCTATTTGTACTTCATGATCCCATGGTAAAATATCACCGTTTCTCATAGCACCAAGTAAAGATCCTCCCTCTAACCAAAATCTGATACCAACTTCTTCTAAGTTATCAAACACGTGATGAGCAACTTTTCTTAAACCTGAGAGGCAACAAGGTGGTGTATATCGTTTTTGATAAATATATGATGGTACACCATTTATAACTGAACCAAAACATCTACTACTTTCCCTCGAACAACCATACCATTCTATGGAATTAGAATCTCTTATAACCTTCTTAATTCCCAAATTTTCAAACATTAATCGTTCGCGATTTAGGTGCAACTGTTGTACCTTCCATTGAGATTGTTGATTTCTAAACAATGACTTCCCTTCATCGAATTGATAATTTGTCAGTATATGAATCTGGTAACACGTAATATATCAAATAAATTGAGCCTTGCTTACTCCAAAATACATGTATGGAGTGTTTCCAAATAATATATAAAAGCGGGCTGGAGGCAATTCCTCATAGAAAAATAAGAAAAATAAAAATTTTTATTTTTCTTATTTTTTCAAAAGGAACCTTCACCCCGTTTTTACATATTATTCGGGGACACCCTGTATTGTATACAAGAAGTCCTCAACTTACAATATTAAGTCGTTCTGAAGTTCATTGCATAAGTAAAATTGTATGAATACCAGAGTACAGTTGAATTTTATTCAAATAATAAAATCCATATAACTCGAGGACTTATTGTACATATATAATAAAGTATATGTTATTATATACTTTCTATAAACTATCAGCAATCAAACATAACAAACACAATGTAAAGACAAAAAAAACGAATAAAAATGTTAATATTATCTAACATAATTTAGATTCAAATTTTATTTAAATTAATAAAAATGTTAATTTACGTTTTAGTAAAAAATATATCCATCTTATCATCCATTGACCATATAACTGACAAAAAATATAATTGAAACATTTGCATTTAAAAAATATTTTAAAAAGTAACTCATTCTTCATGATGTATATAAACAACAAAAAAAGATAGGAATGTGTAATGAATTAAAAAATAAAATTGAACATAAATTACAAACCTTTGCACCTATTGCAGTTGTCTGAATATATAATGCATCCGTGAATGGTAAGAGAAAAGGATCAGTTAATTTCCTTAATAGTTTTGTCTCCAGCATTGTAGCATGCTTTCCATTCACGCCATCGCATTCAGTGCCCTTAACTTGTGAAAACTTGAGACTCCATTCTCTTATTTTTAAATCTATGCCAATACAATTCAAAGTTATTCTTCCTACTGGTACAATTACAATGCCTAATTTTGCTACATGTGACACAGTCTCCTACAATAAATTAATTTTGTATGAACATTTGTGCACATATCGATAATTTCTTTTAGATTACAGTTTAATAAAATTAACAAGTTTCTTACTTGTATGACATCTTTAGTAGAGAGTCGACTAGCATCAGGTAAAAATAAAACATACTTTGTACGCACATAAAAAAGTGGATTTCTTTCATCGTATGAATTATTAAATTCTGGTTGTAAATTTATTAATTTAACATTTTGCATGCTTTCATTGGCAAAGTCCAGTCCCAAAGGAGGATATGGTAACTCATTGCATATTATTAAAATTGGTATAGTAGGAAAGAAATCTAACACAGACTCTACAGTGGAAGTCACATCGTTTTCAAAGGTTTCAAATTGTCGTATAACCACAGTTACCAAACGCGCTAATCGGCGATGAAATTTTTGCGGAGGATCAGGTGTTACCATGCTTGGTGTCAACAACCGCAATGTGTTTTGTGTTGCAAATAACCTCCATATTCTATGCCATAGAATGATATTACCTAATAGTGCAAGCACTAACAACGTTTTTACAAACTTAAAGCGCATAGTTATCGCGTAATTTTCAGTATCATCGTATGTCAAATTTTCTTTCACTTAATTTTCTTGTCATAGCACTTCTAAATAACGTTTGAATATTTGACAGGCCACGATACTTCGTACATGCTTCAATTTATTTTCACCCGGTGTTGCCAACTCACTTTGTACATACATGTATAGAGAGTTGGCTAGAACTGCTACTTGTGATACGAGCACTAGAGTGAAGTAAACCGCAGTTACTAACGTTAAATTGCTTCAGGTCGGTCGATTTCGCATTGCGTCCAAAGAAAATCAGAAAAATGTCGAAGAGGAATCCGGAGGACGAATATAGAAAAGGTTTTATTCATTTTATTTATTATCGTATCACTTGTATTAGGTGAAATAACATTTACTTTCTAATGTGTTAAAGCTGTATCGTGGTCTATTTTCAATTTCTTTTCTCTATTGATTTCGTATCTACAATCTTTAATGTGGATAAGGCGAATTTCGAATACATAATTTATAGAATCGAAGCAACACGGGACAATTGTAAGAGAAAATTGTACGTTCGAAGTGTATTTCACTACCTAAATCTCGTTTCTTACTTTTCATGTACCATTTTTGGGTGCACGCATCCTACAACCATGTGCCAAAGGATGTATCACATTAATAAAAACGGAATGAAAGTTAGCCTTATCTAATAAAATTATCAAGTAAATATGTATTGTATGCTGTATCATTCTAAATAACTATAGAACATGTATGTCGTTTATGAACTTATTTCTCTTCGTTTGTCTACTCAATTTATTTTAAATTTAATTCAGATGGCTAGAATTACAAGGATCTTGTACTAAGCATGCCGCTTATATATTTCCGGTTAAAGAAACAATGTTGTTTAACTTGATCTGAACTTTGCCAGTGTTTGACGTTGTCAGGGTCAAGTGTCTACAGAGCAGAGGACTCCAGGGGGGATGACAGAGGAAGAGATCGCTCTCCACTTAGATCGGATGACCGTTGCGAGACTACCAGCTACAATCAGACTGATGCAAAGAAGCAAAAGCTGGCATTTGCATTTGGGAAAAAAGGTGGAGCGGAACAAAAGAAGGGCATTCAAATAAAATTAGGTTCAACGTCGGTAAGTAAATAATATGCAAGTAAAGTTCTTCGTATGCATGTTGCATGTTAAAACAGTTCAAATATTTTTTTTCTAGAAACCTACTGTAAAACCAACACCAGTACAAAGGCCAACAGTGGCATCAGTATTTAACACTGACGAGGAAGATGAACCTGAAGAAATGCCAGCAGAAGCAAGAATGAGAATGCGAAACATTGGTCGAGAAACACCAACCTCTGCAGGTCCAAATTCATTTGGTAAAACAAAGCAAGGATTTTGTGACTCTAAAAAGATATTTGAAAAAACGCTCAAGAAAGCAATGGAAGAAGCAAATAAATGATTCCTTCCTTAATATACTATGCAATTATTGTTAATTGTATATTAATTTTACATGAAATGCAACAATTAATAGTGAGATTCTTGCTACAGTTATATGCAGAATATTTTTATCAATTTTATGCATCTTATTGGCAGAAACTAGATACAAAGTCTTATTTCTCATCTTTCACATTTCTCGTCCCGTTCTAAAATTCAATTGAACATTAGCTACTTGCTGGTAACAGCTAATATTATGTTTGCACTTCAAATGTATTGTTTTACCATGTAAATCGTAAACAAGTATACATATGTAATAAAATTATGCTACGTAATTTGTACTGTTCATTACCATCATGTTAATTCTGAATCAGGTAATAATTAATTAAAAAAGTTGATAAAAATGACTTCTTTAGATATAGGAAAGTAATGAAATAATTTATCTTGTAACATGTAGGCATATACAATACAAATAAAAGAAACCCCAAGTCGATTTTACTTTTTTATTTTTACTTAAAATTTACATGGTCATTACTTCCTGTTTTGCTGTCCTTGACGTAAATCCTATACCGAAGAACAAATACTGAATTAGTTCAATGAAGATTAACTGCTAAAAATGATTATTAACACTTCGAAAAATTAGAACAAAACCTTAATTTCTATATCAATATATTTCTAATAATTACCCTTGGGAAATTGCGGACTGGAGGAGTTCTAATGCGACGATTTGCTTTAGATCTATTACGGACCACTTTAGAGTGAATAGCACAAGAAACACAGTAATGTAACTTGGCATATAATTTTGGAAGCTGATATGCAGAATAAAAGCTTGCTTCTGTTATGTCCCTAACAGCAGCTGCTTCCACAATGTTACGAATAACAAACTTCTTGATCGCTTTATCTTTTGGCACACATCGTGCACAATTAGTACAACGAACAGGATTTACATGGCCACGACCATGTTTAGCACGTCCACCGTTTCTGCGCTTGCAGGTCTGAAAAATAAAAAAAAGCCAAGCGCGTCAAGTGTCTTGTTAAAACTTTGCAATTGAATATTTTTAGCGGTATTGCACATGGAGGTTAGGATCAGTAATTTAATGGCGTTTAATATTTTTTGGCAAAAATATGAATAACATATATGATATTCTATAGAAATTAAACATTATATTTGTATAATTTATAAATTCATGTTGAAAAAAGATATATTTTATATAAACACAATGACAACCACATGGTTCGCGACCATTCAACACTTGTATTTCATAAATGTGTCACAATTAATATTAAACATATTCTTCAAAACAGAAACTTCTTAATATTATATCAATAAAACTAACTATCATAAAACTATACTATGCACAATACGATAAACTAATGAAATTACGAACGATAAATAACCGTCAGTTACCATTTTGTATCGTTAGCTACAGAAGAAGGGTCAGGATCGGAACACGTTTAATGGTAATACTGGGTTTGCGAGTCAAATCAGTGTACTTCCGTTTATAAAAAATGTTAGTATTTAATTTTGAATTATTTAAACACATCATTCGTATGCTTTAATTGCATTTAAAGTAATTCAGTATAATATAAGACATTTGGATGTGGTTAAAATCTTGAATTATAAATTTAAAACTCTTCAATAATATTTTTTTATTATTAACACTACATTTTTAAATACATGTATATATATCTTTTATCAACAAAAAATTTATGTTACTTATTTATATTTATATATTATGTAATTAAGCTAAGGCATTTAAAATAAATATTGTGGGTTGCTGATAGTTGAAATGATTCGAATCTTCCGCCATTTTACAGATTCGAAGCATCAATCGAGTGTTGCTTCTGTATGTTACTTTGGGTCTTTGTCGTGATTCACGACTCGTGAATTCTAAATTGGTATATTGGGAGCTTATGTATTGAATTAGGTAGTTTTATATCGATCAAATAAAACAGAATTACAGTAATCGTGATTTTTTAGAATTCATTTATCTGTGTTTTAATTTTGCTTTGTACACTTTTACAATTAAGAAATTCCAAGTACTCCTTTAAAAAGGAAAGATCATGGCATTATTTTTTTGACCTATGTTTGTATATTCTTACAATTCAGTTTTGATTGCTCTAATTTGATATCTCGGTTTTTGAACATAATGGTGGAAGAAGTAGTTAACTCTACTAATAAACCGAAGGTATGTTAATTTTCTTGCAATATTAAATGCATAGAAATTTTTTTCAATCCCATTTTTGTACTTATTCAAAGCACTTTTGCATTTCTAAATACGAATTGATTTTATATTAAATATAAGCATCAAATATTGCAGAATAAAACTGCTCGACCTCGTCCAGTTTATCTGTGGAATGTGTTAGATGTACAAAAATGGTTAAGGAGGCACTGTAGTGATTATTACCAATTGTATCATGAAAAATTTTTATATGTAAGTATTTTGAGGGGAAAAATGCATATGTTCAATATTTGCTTCAAATACATTTTTGTATTTCTGACAGTAAATGTAAGATTAACATTATACATGTTTATTTAAGCATGACATCACAGGTAGAGTATTGTTAAGAATAAATGAAAATATTTTATTGAGACTCGGAATTGATAATGAGGAACACAGAATGGATATATGGCGGGAGATAATGAAATTGCATCTTAAGACTGATATGTTAGAAATTAAAGATATTGAACGACGTAATAATATGAATTTTGATTAGTACGATAAATTTGAGATCAAATATGGGCAATAATTTGAACAATGAAGCTTTATTTTTTATATTAATTTATACTAAGTGATATTTTATAACTTGTATTGTTAGTACTATACAATTAGCAATATGTAGAGAACTAAAATTATTGTATTAAATAAATAATTTTATACATATTTATAGGAAAGTATATTTAATATCCTAGTTATAGTTTGATTTCCAAAAGTATAAGTAAGAATGTATAGTTAAATATGAAAGACTAAAAGAAACATATTTTTGATGCCAAAAAGAAATAATAATAAGTAGAAAGTAATTAAAATTCGAATTGTTGTTATTTGTTCATAACTGGATCATTAAAATACTTAAAAATATGATTCTTTTTAAACTGTTGTAATTGTTTTATGTATTTTTTGCTATTTTTTTGTTTTCACTAGTGTAATATGTTGGATGGTTCTTGGTGTGAATGTGACAAGATGCGAGAGAAAGAGTGGTGTGGAATTGGATGACTCAGAAAGTGAATTTCAGAGAGTACAAGGGTGAGGTGATGCATGTCGAGGATGAGTGAAAAGAATGTAAGTAAATTAAGTTTGTTAATAAGTAATATTGTGTAGTAATAAGAAAAGAGACATGGAAAAGGAAAATGAGATGTAGGAGGTAATGTAATATACTTCATTTACGTATGTTGTTATTATGAGTTATTGATATATACTTTCCAATGCAGAAAATTTATAAAAACAATATATCAATTGTTTATTTAATAAGAAATAAAGTCTTTAATATTACAAATTTCTCACGTAACAATACAATATTTGAATACAAATTGACTTCTTGACCAGAAACATTTATTTATTACTTTAATGTTGTACATTTTGTCCTATCGATATTTATTTTCTATATTCGAATGATATTACATACATGTTATTTGTTATTTTTGTGGTATTTATGGATATTTGAAGAAGTAGATTTATACATTACAATCTACATTACCCTGTTCATTATAATTTTATAGAAGATGTGAATACACGAGCAATTGGAATACATTTGATAGTATACATATAATAGATCTTTCATTTGTTATGTAACATTTACCATTCTTTTATCATTATCATTTTATAACGAATTATATTTGTTGTAGCTACAATAATGATAATTTAGTTGCCCTATAATTTTTTTTACTGTATTATGAAACAGTTTTAAGATTATATCACATACATTGATAATGCTTTTTAATGTTTTTTCTAACTGCTAACTCGAAGGTGGAAAGTAATTCTGATATTAAAGATGTGTGAAGTATGCTGGAACATGTGAAAGTAATTTTTGAAAATTTGCATAACTGTTTAATTAATAACTAGGGGTGCATGAAATCCTAAAAATATCACCCGGAATTTCGAGAAGTGTTTATTTCTTGCTATTTTTATTCTAACCTCTATCTTGTCATAGCCTTGTGACATTTTTTCATTCACTTAGGTATTCGTCTCGATGATTCGTTTTCTCGTTAAATATAGGCGCAGGAAAGAAAATTGAATACATTATATAATACAAGCTTAAAATAGTATAATTTCTTTAAAAATTTTGCAAAGGAACATAATTACAATAATCCGTCGTATATAATTTTTGTATCCTATTCGTTATATCTTTCCTGCAATTAAATATTTCTACGTGTTTTATTATTATAGTCCATTGTCGAATTTTTGGTCATTTTACGTTAAGTATGAAGAGCGACTTAGATATAAATATTTTAAGTATTTTAATAAAAATTTCATGATATTCGTGATATTCACATATGTACAGGGCAAGTATATGTTATTAAAACAATAAGTACGAAGTAATTGTAAGTACAATTAATAATTATTAGTCGATACAAAAATTTTGTTTTTTTTTTGTCAGTGATGAGTATAAGCAAGAATCAAAATAAGTAGAATAAAATAATGACAAATTAATTTATTAATATTTCGTTAGCTATGGAAGAGATAATTGATGTATTTTTGTGTATCCACAATATGAGCCTTTCGTTACAAAAGTGGTGTAAAAATATAAAATTTTATATCGAGGGTCACCTATTTTTTCATAAAATCTCCGTTCAAATACATTCGATTACCTCACAGAGAGTGTAACAAATTACATACAACCTGCACCAGTGTCTTGGCTGAAATATTGTTGCAAGTTCACATTTTTAAAATTCGATAATCATGAAAGTGGCTGTAACTCCATTTGTAGTCACAAAAGACATTATTTTTCTTAATGTTTATACTTTTTAAACACTCGATCAATTTATTTATCTGCGATCGCCAAACGCATACAATAAGTAAATTAGCAGTCACCAAAACAGAGATAAATGGATTTACATCATTTTCATAACGAATGGCTTACATACACAAACGAATCACGGAGTTCACATTTTTAACATGCCATTTTCTTTTGCCACTGGCGCTATTTCATTCAATTGTTCGACTCATCTAATTTCTAGTTCTACAGGCACAATTCTTCCAAATCGGGATTTTGTGGTTGTCTCTCTGATGGAAAAACACATAATTCTTCGTTTTTGTTCGATGGCATCGAGCTATGATTCTCTTGGCTATCACGCGTATGATTGCCGATACCCTTTTTTCTTTGTACAGACGTTTGATGTTCATCGACGAACGAATTGTTTGATTTTCTTGTCGGTACGCCTCTTGAAAAAGATGACACGGTCGGATTACTGCCTAAAGTTGCGCGTTTCCACTCATATCTGTAAGGTTTTAAGGGTGGCTGTGAATGTATCACCTACATTGAAATTTCAATATCGAACATACCTAATGGAAGTGCGCGTGCTTTGCGTTTTATTCGTGTCTGTGTTATCGTTCGATGAATTCGTTGACCATTTAAGCAATTTGAAAGGATATCTTTGTTTGATCTCCATCTTGAATTTTTTCTGAAATATGCGTAATGGGATGTAGAAATGGGATCACGGTAATGTTAATTAATACGTACGTTATATATGCCATAGATGAATGGATTGTAGCAACTGTTCGACATGGCCAGCCAATGAAGAAAAAACCATATGTAATGGATATTTTCGTATCTGCAAATTGATTTCTATATGACATGTTGAGATATCGTGCAACGTGTTCTATATACATTAATATGATTAGCATTTTTAAGAACAATTTTCGTTACAATATTAGATCGTAGTGTATATTCGTCCCGTTTTTGTAGCGTTCCTACAATCTGTTCTACATTATTCAGAAATAAGTTTAACGAATTAAGTATGTGCCATTTTGCTCGATGGTCTTCTTCTATCTTTCTGGTAGCTGCATGATTTCTCTCTTGTAAAATTCCTGGGACTTATTAGTGAAGAACTGACCCAAGTGGTTTTTGTAAAACTTCGTGTTTGATGAATTTACGCTAAGAGTTCTACAAAAACCGAAACGTGTTAGATCCGGACTATACATGTTCGAAAAAAATCGTAGCGATCGTTACGACGAATATCCAGTATGAATATATTTATATTTTGCAAAATGTTAAATTTTCAATGTATTTCAACAAAATTTGTTACTTTATCGCAACGAAAAATTAGCCCAACTTAAATAAATAGTCAGTATGCGCGTAACGTGCGTTTATTTTCTATAACCAGGATTGTGGTGTAGTTTTCTGTAGCTCTTTGTAAATTACTCACAGGGTTATTTTTGGAAACAGATATTGGAAAATGCTGTACATTTGTTGAGGCAGCCAGCAAATTGCGAAAAGGGTCACGATAATAATCAACATTTTGATGACCTGAAAATGCGATAAACAACTTGTTTATTTAATAAAAAATGAAAACTGGCTAAATGATAGTAATTTAGTAAATATTTTAAGGAATGATTCTACGGGTTAAAATTAGGCGAAGGTAAAAAATGATGAAAATGCGTTTGAGGTTTAACATATCAGGAAAGTATTGTAATTAAGAAAAAAAATGGCATTTTGCATAAATTAAATTTAATCTCGTAACATTGTTAGTGTTATTGGTTTGGTATCTCTCGAGAACTTATTCGATTCAGTTTTTGAAATTTGGTATTCAAACAGCTAAGCCCCTGTGTCAGTTTCATTTATTTGTGTTGTTTCTCACATTTTATGGACAAAAATCCGAGGGGCCCTAAAGTGTACAGTATGACGTTACAGTTACTTTCACTCTAACTTTTGCGTTTGGAGATTTCAAACGAATGCAAATGTTCCAAATTTTCGTACCCTCATTTTATTCCTCAGCAGATTTGCATCTCGAGAATCTTCCGCGTTTCCAGGTGCTTTGTTGCCCCATAGTTTCAATACCACTCTTGCATAGACGTAGGATATAATTGAAAGCGGTATTAGATATTGCAAAACTATCAATGCTCCTGTGTAAAGTGTCATCAAAGGCCTGGAGATATTTATGTCCCGGCAGTACGGTTTCAATTTCTCTACATCTTCTAAAAAATAAGAGAGATTCATTAAGCACAAATGCTGGCTAATAATTACGCGACTACCCTGCGTGCAAGTTTAAATTCATTTTCAATTGAATAAACAATCTATAATCCAGTGTTTGTCAACATTAGGTACACAGTGTCAAAGTAAATTTTAAAAATAAACTAAGATGATAGCATAAATTATAATAGTTGGTATGTTTATCGAATAGAAGATGAAGCGCCCTTTAAAACGAATTTTGTTTCAAGTCGATCGCGTAATTAGTTCCGGAGATATAAAGCTTCGAAGCATTTCATTGCGCTTCATTCATGAACGTAGAACACTCGTCGAAATTCTTAGAAATACTACGACCCTCTTTACTCGTAGGAAATGCGTACGCACGCGTAGTAAGTAGTAAATAGTGTGCGTCGTTGACTACTGCGCAGGTCACGTGTTTGGGGTAGGTCAGCACGATGCACGTGCGAGAGAGAGGTCCGACGCGTTAGACGGAGACGGTGATAGTGGAATTCGAAAAATTATGCTTTTCTTTACACGACGATATCTCGAAAATGGAAAGTCGGATCGACGAAAATCAAAAACCATTTCAAAGAGGAAGCTTTGCTGCTTCTAACAGCGACACAGTTATTAATAAAACACAATCGACTTTGGAATTACACGAGTGTAAAGTTTGAGTGCTTTTAACACGGCTGTTTTATCATCGTATTATTGTTGAGAATAATTCTTAAAAGAAAAAAAGAATACGGCGAATATTAAAAAGTTAAATTCAACTTTTAGATATCTGGTAAACTTACCAGATTCATGATCTTTTATCATAATGACACGATGTGCAATTGCCGTTGGCACTGCCAAGCTTCCCGCGAGTACCCAAATTCCGACGATGATTTTTTTGGCCGTTAATTTGCTTGGCTTTGCTCTATTTGGAACAGTAATGTGCTTGAATAAGAGGAAAAAAATGATTATTAAGTTCGATGGTGAATTCTTCAAAAGAAGAATCGATACCCATTAAATGACAATTTCAAGATATAGTACATCTATATAATCTTCGTGAAAAATTGTTAATATCGGGGCTGCATTACTCTTGTCGCGAATAAACGATATGTTACATATTTCATATGATTGTAATTTTTCGCAGTAAATATTTAAAGAGGTAACACAGCTGAGTCATAATAAAGATTGACATTAATTAATGGTTAAATCGACCGGACGAAAGTAATGAAAAAGGGGAGTAAAAACAGTAATGCCGGTGTTGTGTTGATCAATAATAAATAGTAATGGATAATAACCATACCATGTTAAGCCGACGATGACTAAACAATAAATGGAATCATTAATCAACGTACCTGAGGGGTTTCAATATTGCACGATGTCGATCAATTGCGATTGCCGTCAGTGTAAAAATTGAAACGTTGATAGAGAGAGTTTGCACGAATGTACAAAAGGGGCACATAAAGTAGGGTAGATTCCATCTTTGTAGCAGGGCTGCTTGAAACTTGGAAAGAAACGACGTTATACAATTATGTTAATATGTAATATCTTTAATTATTACGATAAATTCAAAATTAAATAGAAAATTTAATAACATCTTTACTATCGATCAAATATCAATTTTAGCTGTTTTTCTTTCATTATTTTATTTAATTGATCGAATTGTAAGCACTGTTTATTTAAATTAAGTGATTCCTTATTGCTTAAAAGTTCGTAGTGAATAATTTTTTTTAAATAAATATACCTATGCTCAAGTGAATCTCTTACCTGAAATGGAATCACGAACAAAGCTATGACGATGTCCGCTAATGCTAGGTTCCCTATAAAAATGTTTGTGACACTCTGCATATGTCTAGTTGTTGCGATTATCCACATGATAAGAAAGTTTCCCAATATCGCTAAAATAGATATACTCCCGTATAGCATAATGAAAATGGCGAGATTAAGAGGTGTTACTTTGAAACCGTGCTCTGAAACATCAATGGAACATTGATATTAAATTAAATAATCGTGCAAAGCAATTGGGAGAATGTCAATTTCGTTATTTTTTCATTTCATTGAAGTTTAGTCACAAATAATGTAATTCGTACCAGGTTCCTCTTCAAGGTCCTCCCAGTACTCTCCGTACTCTGTAATGTTAATAGTAGTAGTCTCCATCTGCAACAAGCCCAAAAGAATGACTATTTAAAATATCTATATTAGTATAATAATTAACACAAATTTCCTTGCAAAACCATTGCTTTTGATTAATGTTTATAAACAAAATTAATTATTGCAGATAGTAAAAAAGGCGGTAAAATGAGTTCGATCGTGGGACAATATAAGCGACGAGTGGATTAAAGTTGAGAAGGCAGAAAACGTCGAAGGCATGATTTATTCATTGAAATCGCGTTCGCTTCGTGTCAGCAAAGTTTAGTAATTTCGAAACTGAAATAATTACTTTTATTTAATTCGTTTACTTGTTTTAAAGTTAGTAATAATAATTGGAACATTGGAAAATATCATTAATTTTATATTGTTGAAAAACCTTAGTCTTTTGGCTTTTCGACTTATATCACTTTCATAATCACAAGCAAGTGGTGTGCAATGAAGAGAAATTGGCTAGTTGGTCTGACCAGTTATAGTATAATCTCCTTGCTATAAACTCGAGAAGACCTAGCTCAATAGAAAGTAGATTATACTATAAATAATCAGACTTCGTAGCGAATTTCTCATTTCTGGACCGTAATTACACCGTAAGAGAGTTTAGTGTGGATTAAATTATAACATAAATGACGGAACAAACGAGTAGGTAGTGCTTGATACAGAATAGAACAGAAGAGGAAAATCGATTTATTTTCTGTTGTGCTATTAAATTAAAACTGCAGAATACAGAGTGGAACAAGTAATTAGAACTACTTCGATTTAACACTAAACCTATTACGACCGGACAAATGACCATTTTTTAAATTTCGTTTAGAATTTCTAACATACAATGTTGTTTTAACGCCATTTAACATTGCAACTTTCCTTGTAGTATAAATTAATTTTTTAATATTCATTTCTATTCTTAGCGTTTGTTTTCTGAGAAAAATATGTAGTCTGTCTTGCCTACCATGATCGATCATCTAACCGGTTGAACGATTTATATTTTTTGATAAAAAGCCGAACAAAATTTGGTATTAAATTCTGGTTAAAAGTACAAAAACTTTAGATACGTGTAGTTCCGAAGCTATTAGAGTTTTATTAATAATTGAGCCACCGTTAGAAGTAGCAAATCTTCCTTTTTAAAAATGATTTTTGATTTATGTTGATCCGACTTTTCGTTTTGGAGATATCGTAATTTATATAAAGGGGTAATTTTTGTTCTGTTTCGTGACCGAGTGACCGACTGACTGACTGACGTAACTTTTACTATTTACGAGGTCAATGCCCTCGCGACGTAAACAATGAAAAGTAAACAAACCCTATTTCCGGAACTAATTAAGCTATCGACTTGTATAAACAATCATTTTAAAGGGCTTTTCATCCCCTATCCAACGAATATATCAACTATTATTATTTCTGCTGTCTTCTATGTTTAAATTAGAAATACGTTGCCTCGTAAAAGAGAAGAAGAAAACCTCAGTTTCAAAATGGCTTCAGTTTTAATTACAATGGAATTCCCCAAATAGTTTGCATCTTAAAACGTAACTCTGACTGTATTTGTGACACTTGGAATGCAATTAAAATTACTCTGCTTTTACAAATACCATAATGTAAAAGTTTCGTAAATATCTTTTTATTCTGCATAGATGTTAATTAATTTCAAACGTTTATTGTTTACTTCTCTTTACAAACAGGATTGACAAATAGATTCCATTCAGCTATCGTTATATAAATAACTGTGATTAAAGTAAAAATACATCAGTAACTGTTCAGTGGCTGCTATTGTCATGTTCATTTTAATTTTACGATACATTGACGTATATGTTTCCAATTTAAGGGCGATCCATTTATATTGCTTTAATTGAAACCCGATCGAGGGATGCCAACACGAGATACTGCACATTTACGTTTAATAATTACTTCTATCGACGCGGTGCTGTAATTATGCAAAAATTACGAAACCATTTTTTACGTATATCTATAGTTATGCTTCGCAATGTATTACGTTGTGTAAAGAAATTTTTCAACTTTTTAGTCTCGATAATTTTTCGAGACTGGCTTGGAGAGCGCAGATATAATAGAAAATTAATGTGAGTTTTTTCTTCCCGCATAAAAAATGAGAAATTCTGGTATAAACTGAAGCAATTTGTCAGCTTTCCTTACAAAGGGATATGAACGGCAAAATGTTTATTTTATAAAGATTTTCCACGATAATATCGGTGAAGAGTCTGAGGGAGCCGAGACAAGTTGTAATTTTTCTCTAAGCGAATATACGAGAAATTCATACAGCGAAATGAAATTTAAATGCTTACAACTAGAGAATTTATGCACAGTAGTTTTCTACATCAAAATAAACATGCTGCATATCGTATAGTTGATAAAATGCCTTGAATAAAAGTGAAGTTTGAACGAGAATAATGAACTTGCAGAATTTGATTTGTAATTCACAATTTCTAGTCGTTTAGAGTTTAGTAAATGCAATTGATAGTTATTATTTTGCTTTGTAAAAATTATCTTAAGGTCCAAGTACATTACAATGTGCAACAGGTCTATAGATGTTAAGGAAAAATTCGTTTATGTTTTCGTTTAAGGGACGATCACGAAGAATGCAAGGTAAATGTAAGAAAGTTATGTCGATCGCAACATAATCGTCGCATTGGTCCGCAATGGTATGAGTGTAGAGTGTATCACGGTCACCAGAGATGCTTTGACAATACCTTGTTACTGCCATACCTCCTGTGCACAATATGCACTTTGTGCTTGATAACGTGATTATGCCATTTGGGCAACGTAACACGAACGTGCAAGGGCCACTTTAATATGTGCGACGTCTTGTCTAAACGGACCACGTAGAAGAAAAGAGATTGGGAGACTCAGACGTAAATAAGATCACATAGATCGCCTGAAGAAGTTTTTTTTAAACAGATTCCACGCGCAGAAATGAAAGCGAGAAAATTTGATACATTTGAAAATAATACTGGTAAAACGTTCTTTATTTTACTGAAAAATACCATCAAAAACTGACATCCAAACTAACGAGATCGGTAGTTTTTTCCTCACTTTCTTTTCAATTTTACGCGTATTCCTTTCGTAGAGTTTTCTGCCACGGACAACCCTATTTTTGCGTTTAGCTTTTCATAAATTCTTGAATTTTAGTAGGTTAATGGAAACGTGGTACCTGTTTCAAATATACAGGGTGTTCGGCCATTCCTGGGAAAAATTTTAATGGGAGATTCTAGAGGCCAAAATAAGACGAAAATCAAAGATACTAATTCGTTGATTGAGGCTTCGTTAAAAAGTTATTAAAAAATTTCAAATCATTCTGAAAAAATTATTTTCGGTTGTGGGGGTCAATTACAATCATTTTTGGTTATGTCATATACCCCCGAAATCCTAACCACTTTCGAGAAAAAAATTCCAGTAGGTACTGAAATTTTTAGACGAAATTAAAAAATTTCAAAACACACTAAAAAAATTATATTTAGTTGAAGGGGTCAATTACAAGTATTTTTGGTGAATACACATACCCTTGAAATCCTACCCACTTTCAGGAAAAAAATTCGAGTAGGTACTGAAAGTTTTAGACGATATTAAAAAATTTCAAATCACGCTAAAAAAATTATATTTAGTTACATGGGTCAATTACAAGTATTTTTGGTGAATAGACATATCCCTAAAATCCTACCCGCTTTCGAGAAAAAAATTCATTACCGAAAATACAATGTCTGACCATGAATGAATGATTTCCCTAATATTTCATGCGTATGTTTAAAAAATCATAACTCCCGAACGGATTGGAGGATTTTAATGTTTCAAAAGGCAAACAACGCGTATTAATGGAGCACTAGAGCCCCCGAAAAATGGGTCAAAAAAATACACTGGATGTAAGGTCTACTCTTACTTTGACGTTAATAACTTTTTAATGAAGCCTCAGTCAACAAATTCGATAGGTAAAACGAGTCAAAGTATATATTTAAATATCTCTGCTTTCGTTTACGAGTTTTTGATATTGGTGAATTTTTTAACTGTTCGTTTAATCAGTGTATGCGTTTTGGAAAAAATTAATGACCAAATCAACGTTATTCCATAATTTATTTCTAATTCGATTGCGACATGTTAAAATCTGCATACGTAACGAGAGGCAATCGAGTGGAAAAAACGAGGAAAATGTTACGTGTATCGATCGATTATTCTTATCACATGTTTCGTAATTTGTGTAAATAAACAGCATAGAAATTTTATTGATTTGATTTTCACCTTTAATCGAGCATTAACTAGACGCAGTCGATCTTCGAATCTTAGAAAGTTCTTGTTGCTTCTCTCAGAAAACATTCAATTGCGCGGTTTCGAGTAAATGGAAAATTTGAGTTTACGGGTATCTGTTATTCGTAAATATTTATCAATCCACATAACAATGCACGAAGGTTATTCAGTGCACGTGGAGTGACGCGAAACCTCACGCGTCGAATTTCCAGTTTTGCACGTTCCGCTTTTATTCCGATGAGAAAATTTTTATTCAATTTACACATACAACCGAAAGTGTACTGTAATTGATCGTTGAATCCGAAGTATGAACATTCCGATTTATCAATATTCACTGGAATTTATTCTCCAGCGTCTAATAATGATTTAGATTTCGTACTTCGCAGTTTAACTTTAGCAATTTACGAATATCTATCGCTATCACGTAATTATGCATAATTTTACTATTTCAGTCGCTATATCATCGTTTCCTAAACTCAGTGGCGTAGCTAGAGCTAGTGCAAATTCGCCCCTCCTCAAAATACGATACAATAGAGCATCGATTATTGCACGAGAGTTTCGATCATTGTATAGCGTCGACAAATGGAGGCAATAGTCACTAACAAGGAGGGTTCGAGAGCTACCGATTTAATTGAAGACTGGTACACTGGTAGCTTTCGAAACAATTTTTACGAAAGTATACTACGTTATGTAGGTAACGTGCAACGCGATGTTAGCATTATTGCAACCGAAAAAGGTAGTATAATGAAAAACATTCAGGTGTGCAGTTTTTACGACGCGTCTTTTTATGGTGGACATTAGGGACATTTGCATCAACCATATTACGATTCCCAGACTTACGAAATTACTTGATTGATTCAACATTGTATACACATTTTTAACGTTCCATTGTCTGCGAAACGGTGTCACGTATATAAAAAAGAAACCAACGAAAAATTAAATAGGCATCGATTTATCTGCGCCTTTTTACAAACGAATGTAGCGTTTTCCAAACACGTTCCCTTGCGATACAATAGTGCAATAATCGACACGACCGTGGAAAAATAAGTTTGATCCGATTGAAAAGATTTAAATCGTATAAGTCGCATAGCCTATGGAGTTGTCAGATTACATATGTATTCTTTGTGCTTCGGGATATTTTTAAAGGCGGGAGTTGCAAAGATTAACAAACCTGTAAAACGAACTTGATGAACTAGTTTCCTACAGTTCAAAGAGCGCCCCCTTAATAATCCTTAATCCTCCCTTTCGTTTTTTATTTGTGTGCCAAAGCATTTTACGGAATAAAAATGGCAGTTCGGAAGTGGTATTAAAAAATCTCGATTATCAAAATAATGAGGCTTTGCCCGAAAGCTTAACTCTATTGCAATCTGATACGTATACCTATTAACTTCACTAAAAAAATAATTATATATTGTTCGTTCTGAATACAATTGCTAAATAATTGAACTGATTAATTTCGCGAAGAGTTTAGAGTCTCGAAGAGAACTTCCTTCCAGCCTTCTGTCGTCAGTGCTCATGTTCTCTTACCCAGATCTACCGTTTCTAATTATTTTCTTTACGAAGATACGGCTTACTCGCATTAATTATGTTCTTCGAACGCAGTTTGTTTAATTTAAACGTCGTTCCATCGTTGCAACGGACAAAGGTTTATTTCTCCGTAAATTTAATTTCCGAGTAACTATTTCTCTCACTCTTTTCATCTTGAAATTAAATTTAAATTCCACTAAAAATTGTTGGGCTTTATTCGCGGTTTGTAAGTTTCTCAGAGATCTATATACATCATAATTTTAATAAATAATCTGCAACTTACTATTACCTTGCTTATTATAATTTGTAAACTATTAAGAACGGGGTGCTCTTTCGTTCTTAAAAGTTGTAATAAAATCTTGCACATTCATATTTCACGTTGTTTACAAATATTTCGTTTAGGGTAGAAACCAGTCAATCAGTCGTGTTTCTGTTGTTTCGCAGTACCATGGTACTCGAGTTAAAACGTCTCTAACGAAGGCGCCTTTACTCAAACGGTGTTACGGTTTATTATAAATTTAGATGGTGTTAAACGTTCGTGGGCAACGAATTTAGATACCTATACAAAGTGACTTTATGCACACTGGTCGCGACATTCTGGAAACTCGGCAGTCAGTATTGTTGATCTTAAAATAGTCTCTCGAAGAAAAACTGGAATCATAACAATGGTAATTGCCCAGTCACTCGAGCAACAGTTATCGTAAATTATACATATAATGTTATTTCATTAGCACAGTGAGTGTTCGCGTATCGACGTCTTGGTGTCTATACGATCATAATCCAGAGACCACAAGCACGTAATCTACATACGCTTTAGTCGTTTCATACCGAGTGGTGTTTAGATTCAAAATTACTAGCTCTCTCAGGGTATTTAAATGACCCAATCTTAACTCGAAATACGTTTTCTCTTCCTAGTTCTCTACTGACCTGAATCTATATTATTCCAGAAACTAGACCCGGGATTTCTTCTTTACAGTTCGTATTTTCTCTAAAAGCACAGCATTTACCTTCCGAGATGAATATTTCTGGCCCCGCGGTCGCTCGAATAACAGGAATGCAAGAAGTGCGCGTGTTTTATCTATTCCATTCTATAACTTCTCATTGCCATTATAAATTGAACTGTCACTCACTTGTTGCAGGTTTCAATAACTCAAATATTACGCTTTTTTTACATTAAAATAAGAGTTCGTAACATTTGCAAACAAGTAACAGCGATGCATGTTCTTCGTACGCGTGGAAAAAGAATATTATTTTTACGTTTTGATTCTGTTTTCGTTTAAAAATACATTTCTTTCTAAAACTGCGTGTGAAAATAACGTGCACATTATCGTCGCGATACAAGTGCAAGCATGAGAGAAACATGTGCACGTATCGAGGCTCATGTCCTTAAGTGAACAAACCACATCAGTCCGTGACAATCTCGCGTTAGACACTTGAGCAGTTAGCAAAGGAAATTTGATTTACCCCATTGAGGTCGATAAGATAATTATATAAAACTTGCACTCCTAAGCACCGAGTACATAATCGTAAACACAGTACATATATATCAGAGCTTGCAAACGGGACAAACAACAAATTTTCGCTTTTCAGTCGAATATATTGAAACAGATTAAAGTTTTAAAAATATCATCAATTCCGTTCCTCTTTCACTTCGATAATAATTCCATTCTATTAAATAAAATTAGACGAAACAATGAAATTCCATTTTATTTCAAACGCATTCTGAAAATATACGCGTAAACAAAATAATTAGTCCAATTTTGAAATGTGCTGTCTTTTTGTCCTGCGGTGTGTAGCGGATCCCGGTTTAGTCACGTTTTATCGTACGATCGGTTTTTATATTTCGAAGAGCTCGGAACAAACGAACGGTCGGAAAAAGGTGGTAGAAATTTCAAATAACTATGTGCAAAGAATATTTTTCAACGAAGTCTGATGCTGTATGAGACCATTAATAAATGTAGGGCGAAACACGATCTTCTTGTTAACGTTTATAGCCCGGTGGGAAGAATATATAAGGTTGTTCCTAGAATTTATCATGCGCGACAATAATTTTACAACGAAAAAAAACACTCGATAAATTACATCAGTTAGTGTTTTCGTAATTTTAAAATATATTTTCCCTGTTTTTTTATTATTTTTAGATTTAAAAAAAATAATTTCCTCGTATTATTTGCTTATATGAAGTGAATGAAACAAACACACGAAAAAAGCTACTCACGGTGGACTTCTCTGGATGCTCCTTCACGGGCGAGTATTTTCGTACAACTGCAACTTACGGTTTGTGAGTCTGGCACGTTACGAGCCCGACATTGCTTGCACCGTCGGAAGAAAGAATTTCAATTACGATCAATTGTTCTTTCACGATTTTCACTATCAACAGCGACTACACTCTCGTTCCTGTTACATTATTACCCGTTCCCAAGATACTGCGTTCAATCTACGATGTAAAAACGTTCGGAGCCGATTCATCAAGCGACACGCGTTACTGCTTATTTATTTACGAGTCGATCGCGAATGAAAGAACAGAGGATCTCCGATCTTGTCGCTTATCCCGCGCGACGTCAGCGACGTAATCTCCGGGACGTGCAAAAATTTCGAATACTTTTATTACGAGTCGCGGCTCCGATTCGACGCGACGACTGAGTTTCACGAAACACTGACTCGCGCGGGGTCCCCATTTGAGCAACGTGGTTGCAACGCGACTAAGAAATTCCGTAATTTCGCCCAAAGTTTCGAAAAGTTCGCCGTCAGTGTGCTCCAATTACACACGCGCCGCGTTGGCGAACTTCGTCCGCAGAACACACGTGCTCGCCTTTATTAAAGATGTGTCAGGCGAACCTGTTCCACTCGATAGAAAAAATTCGTGACTCGATCGGTTGTACGCGACGATTGAACGTTGACGGCGGAACGATCAAAGGGCTGCGACGTCACATCGATCTCTCAAATCAAATCAAGTTTGTTCGACCTCTGAAGAATGAAATTCCATTCGTTTAATTTTCTACGCGAAAGCTCGGAGGTCCCCGGTTGTCATTTCTGTTTATTTCGTCGTTAGAATTTAGATGTACGGGATAAATTGGATTTTTCGTATCGTACGGACGAAATTCGGGGCGTTTCGCGTCATTTCGATCGATGGTCACGATCGATCGCGATCGAAGAGGAATTCGGTAGATGCGCGCTTTCCGAGCACTCGCGACGAAATGCCGTGGATTTTCAGGATGTCTACGGTGGGGCGTGAAACCTCAGCGGGCTTTTCCCCGTGGAAGGAGTCCGTCGTCGAACCTGCGCGCTCTGTGACCCTTTTGGTATCGCGCATTGTATCGTGTGCAATTTGGTGCACACCTCGTGAACCTTCACCTTGCTATTTTCAGACGCACATCGGTTTTTCTACTCGACGATCGTTTTGCTTGTCGAGAGTATACACTCGAAAATGTACAACTTTTTCGATGGATGGTAGAACGATGAACAGTAATTGATTGCTCCATGATTACTTGTCCAATTATTTAGAAACAATATTTACAACTGTTATCGACACGATTGTCGCTAGAATATTTCTATTCGATAAAAGAATTTATCTCTGTAGAATTTATATTTAAGAAGAATTTTTGCAAAAGTGAGGATCTTTGTTAGAGTTACTTGTAAGTGCACCAAACACGAGTGAATTGAATCCTTCCTCGTTTATTGTATTTTATTGTTGAAGAAGAATTTAGATAATAACAGGCATCCATTTGTACTCATTTCAATACCTCGATACCTGTGGATTTAATTTTTAATAATCGCTTGGGGTCATTGAAAAGTTTATATTATGTTATGCTGTGGAAAAGCGTATGCAGTTAGTCGGATTTAGAGAACGGTACGAGGGTATTATTGCCTAACGAGTTCAACAAGTACGAATTGAGAATGCTTTAATAGATTTACGTATATTTTATCTAGATAAGTTAGAAATATAATCAGCTAGTAACCAGAGTTCGTATTATCTATCTAATAAAACAATTGCTATAGTAAAAGTTTGTTGTACCTCTCATAGGATCAAAAAGGGATCAAAAAAGGATAATGTTAAAAATAAAAAGAATATAGCAACAAGCCTAGTAAATGTTTACTGCTAAATTTAAACCAAAGTACTCTTCCTTATTTGGATCTATGCACAATATGATTATGGCTTTCAAAAAAGGGAATAGTTAAATTTCTGCTATTAATTCGTTTCATTCCCAAAATAATATTTATTTTTATCGATTTTATTTGTCTCAGAAAGTTAGTAAAAGCATAAAATATATGTCAGAACGTTAATAAAACTGTTTAATATGTAAAATATAAATAAATGATAGGTACATATTAGTTTTCCTCCATCGTCGAATATACACTTTGAGGGGATCAGCTATTTACATTGATTTATACAAACAAACCGACGAACAAGAAACTAAAGAATTTTTAATAATCATTGTTTGCAGAATGTGTTCTGCTTTGAGTCCAAGCGAGCATAACAAAGTTGGCGTATGAAAATAAAATATTGAAGTGAGGTTTAAAATGTCATGTAAATTCTGGAGCAGGCTTTAAAGTACGCGTATATTAAGTTGCGTGTGTAAAAAACGTATCAAAGAGCTAGCTTTGACCCATATGCATATATAGATAAAAGAATTGTAATATGAAAAATAAAATATTCTTAACATAAAAGTTCATACGATTCTAAGGATTTTTATGTTTGAAAGCTGATGTGCAAGTACGTCACACACCTCGAGCTATAAAATACACACACCCAAATCGTTGAATTTTCACATTTCGAGCGGTAAACAATCTTTCTGTGTTTTCCCCCATTTAATATAGCTAATTGAAATGAAATCTAATTCATCCACCATGTTCGTAAAGCTTCGCAACCACAGATTTTTTCTTGTTTTTTAGCCTGAATAACCGCATGAAAAACAAGACTTTTAAAAAGTTATTAAACCGCCAGCGGGAAGTTATAAAATATGAAGGTCCACACTATTACGATTATATTTATTTTAAAATAAAAATGAAAACTAGTACCCGAGTCCTAAATACCTGACATTATCATTCCAGGGTCTTAATTTTTATTAATTCAGTTTTTAGAGATTTTAGAATCCCCTTCCTATCAGAGACTAATCGCAATTTCTATGGGTTTTTCAAATTCGGATTCAAACGTGGAAGTTTGATTAGCGTCCAGTCACGGAGTTCCAATTTGAGAAGTAGTAAGGCGATTCAGGTAGAATCAGATTGGTAATCGAAACACTTCGGATAAATTGAGTGTATCGGGCTACGCCCAAACTCGAACTCAACATCGGATATCTGTACATGTTTCTCCAATATTGTATTAATATAAAATGAATTTTGTCCTAGCAATATCACATTTGCGCTTCCAAACTTGTTCTGTTATTAAATTCTACTAACAAATCATATCCATTGCGGATTAAATCAAAAGGGTAACTTAACTTCTTTAATTTCTGCATACGGACAAAGTCTAATTGTGAATTAATCAAAATTGATCGATCGACTTTACTTGCATTTCACCTGGGTTGCGTATTTTAGTTCAGTTTCTTCTTCTCTTGGTTTAACAACGAGCCTACTATAGTATTATAGTATTTGGAATCGAGTCCACTTTCGAATAAACACTTTTTTTCAATGAGGAACTCTTCTTTATTAATAATCGAGCGATTCATTTAATTCTTTAGCAATATTCCACCCGTGTAGAGATTTATTTTTATTTACCTCGAAATAAAATCATTCTGTTCGGTTTTCAATTTTTCTGTTAACAATATATTTTATTGTGGACTGTGACTTTCCAATCACTCCGAGTGATTTTTCTCGCTTAAATAGATTAATAATAATTAGCTGCCCTTCGCGTTCATATTTCCAAGTTTATTTTTCAAGATTGATATAACTCACTTTTTCATTTCTTTTTACATTTGAACGTCTGCAAAATTGTATTTTCTTTGCATGAAAACTGTTCTGTGCCAACGTCCACTCAAATGAAAATTATTTTATTCGATTCTTACCTGATCTTATTTTGGTTATTACGAACTTTCGTGTACGAAGTCTTTTGTCCTGTACATAAAAATACGAGTATGAATGGTATTGCAATCGTCGTATGGATGAAAGGTGTGCCCGTGTCATTAAATCTTGTACCACGATGTCGTTTTTGTAGACATTGTAACAATGACCTTATTTAGAGAGTGTTATCGCTATCGACTAAATGCTTTTTCATTGTAGAAAGTGGCCAATTTAGGAACTTAGACCTACTTTCCACTATACAGGGTAGTTTAAATTTCAGCTCACAAAACCGTTCGGTTTAACGAACTTCTTATGTCTCACAGAATTAATCGAAAGAGTGTGAATTTGCATTGCGAACCAGTTTTTACATTATTTCTTTGTCACTTCGTAAAGTGAACGATGCAAGTTAGCAACGAATAAAAAATATTCTTTAAACGATCTTTTGTAAAATTTCGTTAAAGGAGTAACTTTTTAATTAGATTTCTGTCACTTTAGCATATTTAAATGTTAAAAATACATAGATTTTCTGGTGTAGAGGAAAGCTTTGGTCTTCAAAACAATTACTAGTAATCAGTTTATTACAAATTGTAAAAGACAACGTTTCGATTATAGCTAAAATAGTGGATCATAAAATATAAGGTTTAAACTAACAGAAAAACAAATTTAAGACATTTTAATTTCGTGACAAATCTTTGGGTAAAGACAAAGATACGAATGAAACTCTTTAAAACAATTATCACTAATAAGTTTATTACAAATTGTAAAAGACAACGTTTCGATTATAGCTAAAATAGTGGATCACAAAATATAAGGTTTAAACTAAACAGAAAAACAAATTCAAGACATTTTAATTTCGTGACAAACCTTTGGATAAAGACAAAGATACGAATGAAACTCTAAAAAACTTATCTTTTCTCTGTATACGATGTTATAACAATTATATGTAAGAGAGAGAACAGAGTGAGAGTGTAAAAAAATAGTCTTATCTATTAGAACTTTCTCTTTCGCAAACACCAAGTCATCCATCGACGTTATTCAAGACCTTCGAAATCTTTATGTAAATTCAAAGAGTAGTCGGCCATTTTACAAAATTAACGTCTGATAAAAATATTAATAAACCTGATCGGGTATTTCATTATTAAGAATGTGGCGTCTCGAAAATATTCTTTAGTAGAAAGGTACAGTTGATGGTTTCTTGGTTCTCGAGGTTTTCATCAACAAACGATCAGCTTCCTTCATAATAACGTGGACAGCATGGTTAACTTGATCGGCTTGAAACGGCTTTAGCAGATCTAACTGGCTTAAACTTCTAGCCAGGATCGACTCTGCTGGTGCTGTCTTGGCATTCATAATAATTGTAACTTCAAGCTTGAAGTTAGTAAGCAAAATACTAACTAAAACATTCTTCTCAAAGGTAGTATACTGCAATAATTAAAACGAACACTTTTTCTCATCACAGCAAATTATTCATTAATATTATTTATTCAGATTAAATAATGACAAATGTCTTCATCACTTCGTCATGTTTCTACGAACGGTTTTTGGAAGCTTAGTTTTAAGGTTGACAGAAGTTCGTCGTTATTATTTTTAAACGTTTCGAGTTGTCTTGCTTATAATAATTAAAACTCCAAGCGAGAAGTATTAAGAAAGAAAACAAAATTGCCAAAATTTCTAACGGTCACAACTTCACTCATATAAAGTGAAGCCTTAATTATTAGTATCGATGCTAATAACCTTGTAAGTACTTGATGCAACTTTAAACATTGCTTAACCCCTTCTACGAAAGCCTCTCACGTGTCCATCGATATCTAAGAAAGGCGTATATACGAACAATAAATTTTTGTTATTTATTTTCTTCTTACGTGTATACAGTTATGAAAAGCTTCGGTAAAGCGAATCTCTGTATTAATTGGTTGGGGGGCGGAGGGCACAGATCGATACGAAACAAAGTATTTTAATTATTTGACTGGCCGGTGTTACCTCACTGCCTTATTTTATTTTTGCTCGATCAGCACGGTTCGTGAGAATTTTTTCTATTGTCGCGCGTGTCGTTTGAGTAATCGTCTAGATTGCAACAGCCTCGACCCGGTATTAAAATCAAAATGGTATCATTAACAAATCATCGAGGATCGCGTCCCCCGCGGAAGACTCTACTGATGCCCGTCAACTCTGTCCCGCCGATCTTGGACTACTTGAAGTCAATTTCACGTCCTCGTCAGATGACGTAGCCGAAATCGAAGGATATCGCGGACGCCGCGGTGTACATTCGAGTGCATACACGCGGACGCGTGTTCTGGAAGAAAGGAAACGGTGGTTTCCCATGAGCATGAACGCGCCACGCCAATCGCGGCTGGTTACAGGCGTGTCATGCAGAATGTCGGCCGATTCTCTTCAGCGGCCTTGTCAACGTCGTCTACTGAGTATGGCTCAAGCTTAAACAAACCTAGCCTGGCCAGGAAGACGAGGAGGGATACGCGAAACGCGTATATAGAGGTTTCGAATCGCGTTGCTCGAGCAGAACACCTTTGTTTCGTCCGGTTAAGGTGTTTCGGTGCAAAATGTCGATGGTGGAACCGAGAAAAATGGACGCATTTCTCCTCGTAAGTATAGCAATTCTCTTCTTCGGGTCGTGATCGCGTTTCCAGGACCAGGCGTGTGTATGGAAAAATAAATACTAGGAATCAGAATTAAAATTAGGATTATCACCGAGGAAATTAGCGCATTTTGTAAATCATTGAGCACTGTATTTTGGTGGAAAAGCTGACAAAATCTTGTATCAGGATCAGGCGTGCGTATGGAAAAATAAATACTGCCAATCAGAATTAAAATTAGCATTATCATCGAGGAAATCAGCGCAATTTGTAAATCATTGAGCACTGTATTTTGGTGTTTCTTTTTTTTTTTTGGAAAAGTTGACAATATCTTGTATCAGGATCAGGCGTGCGTATGGAAAAATAAATACTGGGAATCAGAATTAAAATTAGGATCATCACCGAGGAAATTAGCGCATTTTGTAAATCATTGAGCACTGTATTTTGGTGATTCTTTTTTTTTTTGAAAAGTTGACAAAATTTTGTATCTTTTAAATGTCTCTTTTTTAATATAGTGTGATAGAAATTTTTGCGAATGAACATTGTAAACAGTCAAGAGAAGGATATAATTTAGTGACGATATGTTTTACCAGTAAAATGTGCAATAACGAATGAGATAGTTCTGTTGGAAAAATCTTGGAGCCTTTCAATGGCAACTTTTTTATTCGATCGGCAATGCGATTGCAATTAATTATGTAAAAGGTTCTTACAGCAGTTCGTTACGTTACTAATAACATTAAAAAACTTCTTTTGATCGAATATGCGTGCATTGAAGGAGGGTCAGATGATTTATATTCTGGGTCTTTAATGAAAGTTCTAACGATACTTTTAATTTTTTTATAATTATGAATCCATAATGTTTGTGTGTAAATATTCATGGATATCGAATTACGTTTAAAAATGACTAAAATAGTACGAGTACAACTTTAAGTTTTTGTCAAGAATAATTTATGTAATCATACTTGAAGCAAAGAAAGAACTAACAATTTACCAAATACACTGGTTCATTTTCTTCGTACTGATCTCAATCCTAATTTTGTTTTTTATTGTTAGTATACACTTTCCGATATTAGTTTAAAATTTCTAAGTAGAAAGACACAATATTGAACTGTCACTTCGATCAAGTTAGTGTCTAATTATTTTAAAAGTAAAAAACATAGGAAACTCAGCATCTTAAGGCAGCTTGGAGCACTTTGCTTGCTTCTGATAGTGTTCCTTGAAATTATTGTACATAATATACTATATGTATTTATATATAATATATTATGTCTATATATGTATATAATATATTTTGCACTTTCTTGTTTCAGTTATTAACTTTCGCCTGTTTTTTCGCACTCGGCAGTAGTACTATCGAATCACCAGAGGCAAAGTTAACAGCTAGTATAACGCCAATAAACAGCGGAACATACGCAGATAAAGCCAAAGATTTACTAACATCTGCCAGTGATCGAAGTGAGTCTAACATTTCATTTTTAATGTTCGGTTGGAACGTCAATTCTTACGAAAATACAATATTTCGAAAGAAACCCCAACCCATAAGGGCTATTTGCTTTTATTAAATTGGGAACTTTGTGAAAATATTTAAATCACATTGTTATACATCTCTAATCTTCTTATATTATGCAAGAATTTAATTAATCCTATATGTATACTAAAAAAAGGAAGAAAATATAATTTATTGGGATGGTTTCTCTTTTTTATATACACATGTTCCTTTGATATAACTCTTTTCAAGTTTATCATATAATAATATTTTATAATTTAATGAAAATACCTTTCGTAATAACTATCATTTGGTATGGAGAGCAAATATTAAGTTTCCTTTTACCTAATTTGTTAACAAGTAATTTCAAAAATAAGGAAGTGAAATATGGGTTAAAATAGACATTCGTTAACGAGAAACTAAAAGCCCCGTCCATTGATAAATTCGTAAAGTCATATCGATCGATTCAATATGGGTAATCGATGAATCACGTATGGAAATGTTGTTTTCCCGTTATGAGGATCATTATATCAATGATCTAATGCAGAACAGTGATCACGAGTTGCACTAGAAAGACGCCGGCGGAAGTCGAAGGACCTTCGGGAGTCTCGCTGCATTAGCATGTTATTATATCGAATGTCACAGTTGAAGTCTGTTTGAAGCGTTCGATCGTGGGAACGGTAGTGACACACTTATTTAATACACTGGCGAGTGAAAATGTTGAATAACGATCGATTATATCTAAGAATAGTCGTAATTCTGCACGGACAATTAATCCACCTTTCCACGTACATGTTTAAGCAGTTACGAACATCCCCTCAATTGCACCAAATAGCCAGTGGAAGTACCTAATCTAGATCTGCACCCCCTTAATCAATACTTTCTCGTAGTATCGATCTTCTTTAGTATGAAATTAAATAATTAGATTAACCATCAGTTTTTGTACGAATTTATATTTATTTCGTACACTTTGGATTCCGTTTATCGCCAATTAAACGCATTCTCTATTGTTTACATTCGTAAATCACCCGACTCTATCACGTCACTCTATTCACAGACACTGAGAACTTCAGCAATCACTGTTAATTGAAGTTAAATTTGCGTTAATTTGCGGATTTTCTCCCGCAAACAGTACAGTACAGTAACCGATGATTCATAAACTCACCGTGCAAGAAAGCGTCATTTCCGCCACTAGGAAACGAATGGGTGGAGGACGCGTATGTGTGAAAAACCGAACCATTCACTAGCATTTGCCAAGGTTTAACTTATTACCTATTCTTCTGTACACAATGAGCCGCGTAAAACAATCTGTTTGAATACAGTATTTCTTATATTGGTAAAAGACGTTTCGAGACTTAGAGAAAGATCGTTAGTCAAATAAAAATGCTATTACCGTTTTTTATAATTGAGAATGAACATCAATGATAGAGATTGAACAATTAGTGGGCCTGACTGGCCATGTAACAGTTTTGAAACGATAGGGTATTTCGTGTATCGCGTTGAAAATTGTTTCACAGAAATTAGTTCCGTGATGTGGCTTATTGTTAGTATAATGTGTATGTAAATCGTTAAGAAATTACCATGCACGTGCAATAATACGTTCATCAGCCTTCGACCTTTTACAGTCAGTGTCAACGTAGACAAATATTGAAACAGTAATTCTCGCTTTCAAGCAACAAAATCAGGATACAGTTCGTTCGAAAGAGTGGTTCGAAGATAGCGATATTTGTTTCCAACCGGAGCTCACAAAGGGAAGTTATGGGCGTGGAAATTTCTTTTGGAATGACACTGTGTGGACATTGTTGTACTCGTGTAGCGTTACATAAGACTATTTCTTCGGAATGGACCTTCGTTTTTAAGATATTTTGATTTAAACTTTGCATAGATCTCGTAACACAGGATATAGCACGTAACTGTCGTCACGATTTCTCAGACAGTTTCGATGATCTGACGAGAAGAATGTTTCGAATTAAATCAATTTTGTAGCAGTCGATTTAAACGACTTAAGGTTGGCTTCAATTCTCGAAAGTTATTACAAGCATAAAAAATTGGACTATACTGTTTAGTTGATCATAAAAAACAACAAAACTTTTCTTTTGACGCGAAAAACAATGTAAACACCATCACAGTAATTAAACTCTGGGTAATCATTGTTTGCCCAGGGAAGAGAAAAACACTTCCCCGTTCTTCTTCCATTGTTCCTCGTAACCTTTTAACTAATGTTTCTTTCAAATATCTCGGATATTGAAGTCCTCAAGAGAAAGAGTCACTGTAGTTCGTGAGAATCGATGTGTTTTTCAAATTTGAAACGTGTTAGTAACAAAAGCATGGTATCGACATCCGCAAATTCACTGAAACTTTTGATTTTCTTAAAAGTTTCTTTGGTTCCAGCGTTTCATATTAGCAAAGACTATGGCCAGCCAGGGGGATACGCTGGTAGCTATCCTTACGGAAATTATTACGGTTCGATTTATGATTCTACGCGAGGATATCGCGGATCGAGCTTGAGTTCGGGATATCCCAATTTAGGATATTCGGTGGGTACGCCTGGTGGAATTGTCGGTGGCGGTCTTATTGGGTAAGTAGTCATACAACCTCGAGTAATGAAATTATAAATAAAAATTCAGACAATAGATTTAATGGGGTGAGGAAGCTTACGCTTCTGTAGTCATATTTTGAATTTAAAGAATCGAAGAAGGCAAATAAAAAAACTGTAGATATGTTATAAACAATTTGTGAACGTTAACGCGCGAAAGTTCCATTTACATCGCGACTGTAAATCCCACGAGATGGATCCAAAACATTTGCAACGAGATTCGACTTAAACTTTGAATTTCTTTATGTAACCAGTTTTATTTTTCGCATGATTACGGAATATCATCAGTATCTCAACTAGTTCGTAACAGTTTCACGTATCGCCTTCGTCAAACAGCTAATCATTCAGGTATTTCCGGTGACGACACTATTTGCTGTTCAGACGACGTTGGTGGATTTTAAAACAGAAATCATTCCAGGAAACTCGTTTCTGTTTCCATTATTAAAATAGATGCTCCTCCGAATAATTACATTTTATTCCAGAGAATCAACTACAATAGGTAGTCGAATTCAAATGTATAGTCGATAATCGTTTGATCGCAGGTACGGCTATTACGGAAATGTTGGATATACTCCGAGTTATGGAGGGTACGGTGGATCTGGTGGATATGGTGGAAACGGAATATATAATGGATATGAAGGATACGGTGGATATGGTGGGTCTGGAGGATACGGTGGATACGGTGGGTCTGGAGGATATGGTGGATACGGTGGTTACGGGAATGGAGTAGGCAGTTATGGTGGTTATGGTGGCAATTACGGGTCTGGAAGTTATGGTACAGGTGTTTACGGTGATAGATATGGCGGACGACCAAGTTATGGACGCTACGGTGGCTCAGACTATGGATACGGATACAATGGATATGGGGGTTCGAATTATGGATCCGCATATAGCTCGAGAAACACTTACGATCCATATGGTTACCGTGGAAACAATTATGGAAACTATGGTACAAACTATCCATCAGGGTACAGGGGTTACTCTTAAAATTTCCATTAAAGAGAAACTTGGAACTGTGCTTTTCATTGACATAACAAATATGAATCATTGCAGCAGTATTTCAGGATACTGATTTAACTGTACATGTGGCAGTCAAACTTTCATCTATTTCACACGATATATTGCATTAATATATGTAGTTTTTATAATGTTTAGTTATTAATAATGTTTCGTACAATGTATATAATATATTACTGATAATAATAAATAATACTTAATACGTTATTATCTCGTTCGAGTTTTGAATTCTATGATTCAAGGCGATCACGCTGTATTACCAGAACATTCATTTTTTAATGAATGTAAGCGTTATTATATTTAACTATAAAAATCAATTGTGTATTTTGTGATTAGTTTTATTTAATAAAAATACATGATTCATGCTCGTAAAGGAACATTGGATGAACGCAATATTAATATGTACAATTATGTATAATTTATTGGAAATTTATCGATCTCTACGCTAAAAGAAGAAGAATACATATTAGCTTAGCTTATATCCAATGTACAAATATAATCATTCTGTTATTCAAAACACGTGTCGAGCACGTACAGTTTCGCACGGACTGTTATGGTCAGTACTATACATAAATCGCCGAACGCGAATCCGATAAATTTCCATTCGGCTGAAACGACTTGTAAAACGAATTACATTCCGTATGATTTATGTAAAATATCTCACGAATCTTTCGCCCTAAGCTTTTTAATAATTCACGGTCCGAAAGTGTCTTAAATACGACAGCCGTTCTGTACGCGCTCAATAAGAATTAAAACACGTATTAGCACTTGTACGATCAATATTTAATCTCAAGCATACAAAATGAAGACGCGCCGTATCGTTTTCATTCCTCACGATGTTTTCATAACTTATATTAAACAATTTGCAATCGGATCGTGCAGGATACGTTACCCTGTTTTGAAATTGAAATTAAATACCAGCTAATGACAATGGTGTAATGAACTAAAATTTCTGTCGCGACGTAGTACCCAAATAAGAAGAAGAAACGTTACTAAAAATTTTCAAATCCTACATAATGCTCTTCGAAGCAACGATTTTTACGAAATTTGTCCGAAAGTAAAGTGGTCTCTTTTCCATGCATTAATTCTTGTAATAATTATCAAGTTGTTACAAATTTCGATGCAATATTACGCTTCTAAACCGACTCAGTAAAAACGAAGATGTAAACCCCGATTTCCACCGACAAAACACAGTTACCATTTAATCATAATAAATCTCGTACGACGGAAACGCATGGAAAAAGCATTACATTTCCCGCTATGCTACCTCCGAATAATCGTAGTCAGTCGTTCCGAGCGAATTTCACGAATCCCATTCGAGTGCAAATCGTTCTTTTCGCGTCGATGTAAGAACGCATACTACAGATTACAGTCACATTACAAGACGATGTTTCCGCTTTTCGATCGTGTTCTCTCTGGCCATCCGTCAGCTGTCCAGCAGCCGATAGACGGGCAGTTCGTCATTACGGGCTTGTTCCCTGAAAGCGAGAAATTTTCGTCACGGTCGCGTCGTGACTCGACGACCGTGTGTTACAATTACATTCTTCATTTGACGTTCCGGCTCTTGATTCTTCGCCTTTCGGTCCGGCTTCGAGCTGAAACATTCAAAAAGCCAAGTTTCGCTTGACGCAACGCCTCCCTTAGGTTCTCGATGTTGCCAAGCTGATTCAGGCTGAGAAGCTTCGTTTCTATTCGTCCGCTCTGCGCGCCACATGCATTGCATGTGTAGGGGACAGGCATTGCGGAGGGGAACATGTCTTTCATGTTTTGGCCGTCCGTATCGTCGCCCGGGCAATATGGTACAAACACCACGGGAATAAAGCCAAGCTGACCAATGAGAGGAATGGATGTCGTGCTCGTGGTGGTGACGGTATCGTTACCCGTATCGAGCAGATAACAAGGACAGGTTTGCGGATCTGGCCCTATTGATTGCTGGTAGGGTTTGTTGATTGGACTTGGAGGCTGAACCCCGATAGCAGCGAAATCTCGATTCGGTTCTAATGGTGTCTCAGACAATTCGTTTACCTGTTTGATGAACGTAGAACTACCTCTGCTCGACGACTGATACTTTACGTTCGCCTGCGCGTTTGCGTTCTGATACGCCGCCTTCTCCGTCTCTACCTCGACGATCGGATTGGTTTTATCAGGTTGGCTCAATTTCGTAACCTGTTGAGAAAATTTACGATGCCCGCGACTGGTGTGTTCGATCTGTTGCTGGCCAGCGTACTTCGCGTTGCTCGATGTTTTCACTTCGTTGTACGTGGTTTGAGGTGCAAGCTTCGTGACGCCAACGTACGCGTTTCCGTCTTCTTCGTCGGTATATTTTCGCGACTCCTTTCGTTGCATGTGCAACAAAGAATTAATTGCGTCCGCGTTTTGATTCAGTTGTTCTTGATGGTATCCAAGTCTTTCCGATTGATCTTGATATTGATTGTCTTTTGAACCAAACGGGCTGCTTATTTTGGTTGGATATCCGAAAGCAGTGGATTCGACGTTTTTCTCGTAATTTCCATCGTACGTTCCATTTTTCCTAAAATCTGAATTAAACTTGGAACTGGATGTCAATCGTTCTACTTGTTTCTGTCCGTAGTCTCCATAGTATGGTTCGTTGTATGAACTCGGTGTCGTAGGTTCGTAATACTTCAGTGGATATTGAAGTTTGATCGGTCCTTCGTATCGAGGTCGCGTTGTTGGCTCTGCTCCGGGTACGTAATCTGGATCACCAGGCCATGGACCATCTGGTCCTGGTGAACCTGTCGGCCATGGGCCGTCTGGTCCGTCTGGTCCAACACCTCCTTCGCCACCTACTCCTCCAACTCCACCAACAGGACCTCCAGGACCTTCCGGACCGCCAGGACCGCCTGGACCTTGGGGACCATCGGGACCATTGGGCCATGGGCCGTTAGGACCATCAGGTCCAACACCACCTACTCCACCTCCATCGCCACCTGGACTAGGAGGTTCAGTGGGATATCCGGGATACGAAGGATGCTGCTCGTTACCTGAAATTGCAGATAGAAATTGCAACTTAAAATATGTTAACCCACTATGATTTTTAGCTAATATAAAACAGTTGAAACCATCATAAATATACTACTTGGTACTATTATATTCTAGTATTGAGGTCATTGTATATGTGTTTATATGAGGTCATTGTATATTGTATATTGTTCTATAATATTTGTGAAAACCTAACTTAAATGCAATAAACCATGCAAAATAAGTAGTTTACATACCTGGTGTTGAAGTTCCAGGATGTGAATGATGCCCAGGGGAACCAGGTCGACCAGGTCTACCAGGTCGACCAGGTTTACCTGGACGTCCAGGGTGTCCAGGATGCGGTGGTATTGGCGGGGTTCCAGGTGAACCAGGAGTAACAGGTATGCCTGGTGTACCAGGAGATCCAGGTGTTCCAGGATACCCCGGTTGAGGTGGGTACGGCGGTATGCCAGGAATACCGGGAGTGCCAGGTTTGCCGGGTCTACTTGGACTGCCTGGCGTACCAGGAGTTCCAGGAGAACCTGGCGTCCCAGGAGCTCCAGGATATCCTGGGTATGGTGGATAAGGAGGAGATCCGGGCGTACCGGGTACACCAGGAATACCGGGCGAGCCTGGCGTTCCTTCTAGACCGGGAGCTCCTGGATATGGAGGCTGTGATGGAGGAGATGGACTGCCAGACCCATGGTGACCAGGCTTGCCAGGTTTGCCAGGTTTACCAGGTCTACCGGGCCTACCAGGTTTACCTGGTCTTCCAGGAGTACCAGGTTGGGAACCATCTGGGTATCCGGGAGTTCCAGGTGTCCCTGGGTATCCGGGTGAACCAGGCGTTCCAGGATATCCAGGATATCCTGGGTAGCCAGGTTGTGGTGGTAATCCGGGCGTACCGGGCGATCCAGGGTATCCTGATTGGGGCGGTATCCCAGGAGTGCCAGGCGATCCTGGCGTTCCGGGATATCCTGGGTATCCCGGTTGTGGCGGACTGCCTGGCGTACCAGGTGTTCCGGGCGTACCAGGCGATCCAGGGTATCCTGGTTGGGGCGGTATTCCAGGTGTGCCAGGCGATCCTGGCGTCCCCGGCGTTCCGGGGTATCCTGGGTATCCTGGTTGTGGCGGACGACCAGGTGTACCAGGTGTTCCGGGCGTACCAGGTGATCCAGGGTATCCTGGTTGGGGCGGTATTCCAGGTGTGCCAGGCGATCCTGGCGTTCCGGGATATCCTGGGTATCCCGGTTGTGGCGGACTGCCTGGCGTGCCAGGTGTTCCGGGTGTACCAGGCGATCCAGGGTATCCTGGTTGGTGCGGTATTCCAGGTGTGCCAGGCGATCCTGGCGTCCCCGGCGTTCCGGGGTATCCTGGGTATCCTGGTTGTGGCGGACGACCAGGTGTACCAGGTTTTCCGGGTGTACCAGGTGATCCAGGATATCCTGGTTGGGGCGGTATTCCAGGTGTGCCAGGCGATCCTGGCGTTCCAGGCGTTCCGGGATATCCTGGGTATCCCGGTTGTGGCGGACTGCCTGGCGTGCCAGGTGTTCCGGGCGTACCGGGTGTTCCAGGGTATCCAGGTTGCGGCGGTGTTCCAGGTGAACCAGGCGATCCTGGCGTCCCCGGCGTGCCAGGTTGTCCTGGGAATCCTGGGAATCCTGGTTGAGGCGGAGCTCCAGGGTATCCAGGATGCGGCGGTCTACCAGGTGTACCGGGTGTTCCAGGCGATCCTGGGGCTCCAGGCGTGCCAGGCTGACCTGGGTATCCCGGTTGTGATGGACTTCCAGGTGTCCCGGGTGTTCCGGGATAGCCGGGTTGTGGTGGTCTGCCAGGCGAGCCAGGAGTTCCAGGGAATCCAGGTTGAGGTGGTTTGCCAGGTGTACCAGGTGATCCAGGCGTACCTGGGTACCCTGGGTGTGGTGGACTACCAGGCGTTCCGGGTGTTCCTGGATATCCAGGTTGCGTCGGTGTTCCTGGTGTACCAGGCGTTCCGGGTGTTCCAGGCGTTCCTGGCGTGCCTGGGTATCCTGGTGTTGGTGGACTTCCAGGCGTGCCTGGTGTTCCGGGTGTTCCAGGGTATCCTGGCTGTGGCGGTCTGCCAGGTGTGCCAGGTGTACCAGGGTATCCAGGTTGCGGTGGTTTCCCTGGCATACCGGGTGTTCCGGGCGTCCCAGGCGTACCAGGATATCCAGGTTGTGGAGGTTTTCCTGGCGTTCCAGGCGTCCCAGGCGTTCCGGGTGTTCCAGGCGTGCCTGGGTATCCTGGTTGTGGTGGTCTGCCAGGCGTTCCGGGCGTTCCTGGTGTGCCTGGGTAGCCCGGGTATGGTGGGATTCCAGGTGAGCCAGGTGTTCCGGGATATCCAGGATGCGGTGGTGTTCCAGGAGATCCAGGTGTTCCAGACGTTCCTGGTGCACCAGGATATCCAGGGGTTCCGGGGTATCCAGGTTGTGGTGGAGTGCCAGGCGAACCGGGTGTGCCAGGTGTTCCTGGGTAGTCAGGTTGAGGTGGACTGCCAGGCGAACCGGGTGTTCCAGGTGTTCCTGGGTAGCCAGGTTGTGTCGGTTTTCCAGGCGTTCCCGGTGTTCCAGGTGTTCCAGGTGTACCGGGTGTACCAGGATATCCAGGTGTTCCGGGATATCCAGGCGTTCCGGGATATCCCGGTTGTGGTGGACCGCCGGGTATTCCAGGCGTACCGGGGGTACCAGGGTATCCAGGTTGAGGCGGTTTTCCAGGCGTCCCAGGTATTCCTGGCGTTCCGGGTGTACCAGGGTATCCAGGTGTTCCGGGATATCCAGGTTGTGGTGGCTGTCCAGGAGTTCCAGGTGTTCCTGGCGATCCAGGGATGCCAGGCGTCCCGGGATATCCTGGGTATCCTGGTTGTGGTGGACTACCCGGTGTGCCGGGTTTCCCAGGCGTTCCGGGAGTACCGGGGTATCCAGGTTGAGGCGGTTTTCCAGGCGTACCAGGTACTCCAGGTGATCCTGGGGTGCCAGGCGTTCCGGGATATCCCGGATGACCCGGTTGTGGTGGACTGCCGGGTGTGCCCGGTGTTCCAGGCGTACCGGGGGTTCCAGGGTATCCAGGTTGAGGAGGTTTTCCAGGCATACCGGGTGTACCAGGGTATCCAGGTTGAGGCGGTTTACCAGGTGTGCCAGGTACTCCGGGTGTTCCGGGAGTACCGGGGAATCCAGGTTGCGGCGGTGTTCCAGGCGTACCAGGTATTCCAGGTGATCCTGGGGTGCCAGGCGTTCCGGGATATCCCGGATGACCCGGTTGTGGTGGACTGCCGGGTGTGCCCGGTGTTCCAGGCGTACCGGGGGTTCCAGGGTATCCAGGTTGAGGAGGTTTTCCAGGCATACCGGGTGTACCAGGGTATCCAGGTTGAGGCGGTTTACCAGGTGTGCCAGGTACTCCGGGTGTTCCGGGAGTACCGGGGAATCCAGGTTGCGGCGGTGTTCCAGGCGTACCAGGTATTCCAGGTGATCCTGGGGTGCCAGGCGTTCCGGGATATCCCGGATGCCCCGGTTGTGGTGGACTACCGGGTACGCCTGGCGTTCCAGGCGTACCAGGGGTTCCAGGGTATCCAGGTTGGGGCGGTTTTCCAGGCGTTCCAGGTGTTCCAGGTGATCCTGGGATGCCAGGCGTTTCGGGATATCCTGGGTATCCAGGTTGTGGTGGACTACCAGGTGTGCCAGGTGTTCCAGGCGTTCCGGGTGTACCCGGGTATCCAGGTTGAGGCGGTTTTCCAGGCGTGCCCGGTGTGCCAGGCGTACCGGGGGTACCAGGGTATCCAGGTTGAGGCGGTTTTCCAGGTGTACCAGGTGTGCCAGGTGATCCTGGTGTGCCAGGCGTTCCGGGGTGTCCTGGGTATCCAGGTTGTGGTGGAGTGCCAGGTGTGCCAGGCGTACCGGGTGTACCAGGGTATCCAGGTTGGGGCGGTTTTCCAGGCGAACCAGGTGTTCCAGGTGATCCTGGTGTGCCAGGCGTTCCGGGGTGTCCTGGGTATCCAGGTTGTGGTGGAGTTCCAGGGGTGCCAGGCGTACCGGGTGTACCAGGGTATCCAGGTTGAGGCGGTTTGCCAGGCGTACCAGGTGTTCCAGGTGATCCTGGTGTGCCAGGCGTTCCGGGGTATCCTGGGTATCCAGGTTGTGGTGGAGTTCCAGGTGTGCCAGGAGTACCGGGTGTACCAGGGTATCCAGGTTGAGGCGGTTTTCCAGGCGTGCCTGGTGTTCCGGGTGTTCCAGGTGTGCCAGGCGTTCCGGGGTGTCCTGGGTATCCAGGTTGTGGTGGAGTGCCAGGTGTGCCAGGCGTACCGGGTGTACCAGGGTATCCAGGTTGAGGCGGTTTGCCAGGCGTACCAGGTGTTCCAGGTGATCCTGGTGTGCCAGGCGTTCCGGGGTATCCTGGGTATCCAGGTTGTGGTGGAGTTCCAGGTGTGCCAGGAGTACCGGGTGTACCAGGGTATCCAGGTTGAGGCGGTTTTCCAGGCGTGCCTGGTGTTCCGGGTGTTCCAGGTATGCCAGGCGTTCCGGGGTGTCCTGGGTAACCAGGTTGTGGTGGAGTTCCAGGGGTGCCAGGCGTACCGGGTGTACCAGGGTATCCAGGTTGAGGCGGTTTGCCAGGCGTACCAGGTGTTCCAGGTGATCCTGGTGTGCCAGGCGTTCCGGGGTATCCTGGGTATCCAGGTTGTGGTGGAGTTCCAGGTGTGCCAGGAGTACCGGGTGTACCAGGGTATCCAGGTTGAGGCGGTTTCCCAGGCGTGCCTGGTGTTCCGGGTGTTCCAGGTGTGCCAGGCGTTCCGGGGTGTCCTGGGTATCCAGGTTGTGGTGGAGTTCCAGGTGTGCCAGGCGTACCGGGTATACCAGGGTATCCAGGTTGAGGCGGTTTGCCAGGCGTGCCTGGTGTTCCGGGTGTTCCAGGTGTCCCAGGCGTTCCGGGGTGTCCTGGGTATCCAGGTTGTGGTGGAGTTCCAGGTGTGCCAGGCGTACCGGGTGTACCAGGGTATCCAGGTTGAGGCGGTTTTCCAGGCGTGCCTGGTGTTCCGGGTGTTCCAGGTGTCCCAGGCGTTCCGGGGTGTCCTGGGTATCCAGGTTGTGGTGGAGTTCCAGGTGTGCCAGGCGTACCGGGTGTACCAGGGTATCCAGGTTGAGGCGGTTTTCCAGGCGTGCCTGGTGTTCCGGGTGTTCCAGGTCTGCCAGGCGTTCCGGGGTGTCCTGGGTATCCAGGTTGTGGTGGAGTTCCAGGTGTGCCAGGCGTACCGGGTGTACCAGGGTATCCAGGTTGAGGCGGTTTTCCAGGCGTGCCAGGTGTTCCGGGTGTTCCAGGTGTCCCAGGCGTTCCGGGGTGTCCTGGGTATCCAGGTTGTGGTGGAGTTCCAGGTGTGCCAGGCGTACCGGGTGTACCAGGGTATCCAGGTTGAGGCGGTTTTCCAGGCGTGCCTGGTGTTCCGGGTGTTCCAGGTGTGCCAGGCGTTCCGGGGTGTCCTGGGTATCCAGGTTGTGCTGGAGTTCCAGGTGTGCCAGGCGTACCGGGTGTACCAGGGTATCCAGGTTGAGGCGGTTTTCCAGGCGTGCCTGGTGTTCCGGGTGTTCCAGGTGTGCCAGGCGTTCCGGGGTGTCCTGGGTATCCAGGTTGTGGTGGAGTTCCAGGTATGCCAGGCGTACCGGGTGTACCAGGGTATCCAGGTTGAGGCGGTTTTCCAGGCGTGCCTGGTGTTCCGGGTGTTCCAGGTGTACCAGGCGTTCCGGGGTGTCCTGGGTATCCAGGTTGTGGTGGAGTTCCAGGGGTGCCAGGCGTACCGGGTGTACCAGGGTATCCAGGTTGAGGCGGTTTTCCAGGCGTGCCTGGTGTTCCGGGTGTTCCAGGTGTGCCAGGCGTTCCGGGGTGTCCTGGGTATCCAGGTTGTGGTGGAGTTCCAGGGGTGCCAGGCGTACCGGGTGTACCAGGGTATCCAGGTTGAGGCGGTTTTCCAGTCGTGCCTGGTGTTCCGGGTGTTCCAGGTGTGCCAGGCGTTCCGGGGTGTCCTGGGTATCCAGGTTGTGGTGGAGTTCCAGGTCTGCCAGGCGTACCGGGTGTACCAGGGTATCCAGGTTGAGGCGGTTTTCCAGGCGTGCCTGGTGTTCCGGGTGTTCCAGGTGTGCCAGGCGTTCCAGGGTGTCCTGGGTATCCTGGTTGTGGTGGAGTTCCAGGGGTGCCAGGCGTACCGGGTGTACCAGGGTATCCAGGTTGAGGCGGTTTTCCAGGCGTGCCTGGTTTTCCGGGTGTTCCAGGTGTGCCAGGCGTTCCGGGGTGTCCTGGGTATCCCGGTGTTGGTGGAATTCCAGGCGTGCCAGGCGTACCGGGTGTACCAGGGTATCCAGGTTGAGGCGGTTTTCCAGGCGTACCAGGTGATCCTGGTGTGCCAGGCGTTCCGGGGTGTCCTGGGTATCCAGGTTGTGGTGGGGTGCCAGGTGTGCCAGGCGTACCTGGTGTACCAGGGTATCCAGGTTGCGGCGGTTTGCCTGGCGTGCCTGGTGTTCCGGGAGTTCCAGGTGTTCCAGGAGTTCCAGGTTGTCCTGGGTATCCCGGAGTTGGTGGACTTCCAGGTGTGCCTGGTGTTCCAGGTGTTCCAGGATATCCTGGTTGTGGCGGACTGCCAGGCGTTCCAGGCGTTCCGGGTATTCCAGGATATCCTGGTTGAGGCGGTTTGCCTGGCGTGCCAGGTGTTCCGGGCGTTCCGGGAGTTCCGGGTTGTCCTGGGTATCCTGGTGTTGGTGGACTTCCAGGCGTGCCTGGTGTTCCGGGTGTTCCAGGGTATCCTGGTTGCGGCGGCTTGCCAGGCGTGCCAGGTGTTCCGGGCGTTCCAGGTGTTCCAGGAGTTCCGGGTTGTCCTGGGTATCCTGGTGTTGGTGGACTTCCAGGCGTGCCTGGTGTTCCGGGTGTTCCAGGGTATCCTGGTTGTGGTGGTCTTCCTGGTGTGCCAGGTGTGCCAGGCCTTCCTGGTCTACCAGGTATGCCTGGATGTCCTGGTTTACCTGGGATTCCAGGATGGGCTGGAGTTCCAGGTGTTCCTGGTGTCCCAGGGGTACCGGGTTTACCTGGTATACCTGGTGTGCCCGGTGTTCCTGGAGCTAATGGTATTGCTGGTGTTCCAGGGGCACCTGGCTTTCCGGGATATCCTGTATTTTACAAATTTGTTATAAATTTGCCCTTATTGTCTTGTTTACTGTCATTTAATAGTGGCAAATTTTTTTTATTTTGCAGTTGCAGATTTAGGTAGACTGTGCTTTGTTCTTTTAGAAAAATAATACATACCAGGCCTGTTCGGATATCCTGTTTGTGGTGGATATTGTGGTTGACCTGGTTTCACAGGTGTCCCTCCACTAGCGGAACCGTCCGTGCTTGGTGCTGTACATAGTATTTTATACTTTAATTTGACCTGCTTTGATATATTTTTCTGTTGTAAAATCATATTATACATACTTTGGCCGGGCGGGAAGGTTGTACTTGGTTTCGAATTCGTTCCATCGAATTGACTACAAATATCTGGAAAATATAAGTCGGTCCATTGCGTAATAACGCCATGGTGATCGTGGTGTTCGTGGTGTTCATGGTCGTGTTCATGTTGATCTGATTCTTCAGGATGATGATGCTCATGTTCATGTAAGAATAGTTCAATTGCGTTGCCTGGTTGAACGACTCGGTATCCCCAACCATCACTTATGTAAAACGTCGTTTTCAATTTCCCAAATGGATCTATATATCCATAGCATCCATAGGTGATTTCGTCAGGTCCACGTGCTTCATGGTGGAATTGCCCATTTGGACTGATTTCATAACCGTAATTGTATGCGTCTGTAATGTAGTATATATTAGTAAATATATCACATCTTCGTAACAGTATTCGAAGTTACGTTCTGTAATACTTTTCTACACGTAGTGCATGATAAACGCATTCTCATATATTTATATTTTGTATCATAATCTTACTGGAATAGAAGTCTTGGTTTAGATATTGTGTTTTCTGATCATCACTGATGTTCAATATCACTTCTCTATTCTGCCTGCTTCCTTGCTGCTGAGTGTATTGCAACAGACATGTGGCAATCACCTATGACAAATGATCAATCGATTAGACGCGCGTATAATAAGTACTTAATTTTAAATAATTTCAAAAAATCCCACGTTTTTACAGTTGGTACAAATTTTGCAATGGATACATTGTAACAGAAGGTAAAGAATATTATATGGTATAATAAACATAAAATATTTAATTTTATGTAAAGTACATAACTCTACGTGTAAATATTTGTGTCACGTTGTGTACTCTTATTGATTCATACAGTCGTTTTCGTTTATTGATAAATAATAAATTCTGTGAAATGTTTCATTCCGTTAATATGATATACATATATGCATCCTAAATCATTCTGCTAACATTATGTAACGCGTCAGTTACATAGCAAATTAGCCAACATGGTATACTGATTTGTTCTTTGGGTAGCTACCTTTAGCTGGACTAATCTTGTTCACCTTTTAAAAGCCTAGCAAAGATTCACTAACAACATAGCATGTCATCTTAAATGTCAAATCAACCACTCAACCTATCTTGCTTGGAATATTCATGCAATAATATTCGTTCTACTCCAAAAATCGCTACTCTTATATTTTCAAATAGGCAATTGACGAACAGATTTATTTCGGTATGCTATGGCAAATATCTAAAATACATACAAATTTTAATCGAAGTCAAATATTTAAAAATTAATTATTACTTGAAATTGTCCGGTACACTTTTATTCTTTTTCATTGCATATCCGACAAGGTTTTTTAAAATAATATATTACACGTAGCCATGAAGCTATTAATGAAATGGAAGTTCTATCGCTTCTAGATAAACTTTTAATCTAGCATATATTTTCAATATTACAATTTTTCATTCTAGTGATTATACACGTAACAGAGAATTAAATTGTATTTCACACGTTCAACGTTTTCTACGTGCGTTGAGTTAAAAATGATGTAACAATGTTTACATAGAGATTCACAGAATTTCACGACCTCGATGCTCGCGAAAGATCGAAAGAAACGGATTTCTGGTCCACACAATTTCAAACATGTGTCACGTTTCTTAAACTTTTCCATTGCATGTATCAGTCGTACGGTCACGTACGAAACTCAGCCGTCATTGATCGTTGAGTATTACTCCCGAATGAAAAATTTTAATAAATTCGAAAATATCTTTCGCTCGTTACGAAACAGTTCCCCTTTATAAGCGTCCACGCGGTACCGTTTTATCGTTTGACGAGAAGCGAAAAGAAAAATGGAAATACTACGATTGTATTCGCGATCATCAATTCTACTTGTCTACTCTCTATAAATAACCAGTCCCATATTGGCGTAAGTGAACAGTGTACGACTTTTTGTAGCACAGCCAGCGTTGACGTGGCTTTTAATCTTCCCATGTCAGAGGCCCCGTAAAAGTCAGTCTTAGGAATCCCTGAGTTATTTCTCAGATGATTACACGAATGAAGCTTTTTCGTTCGCAACGCCATTTAGGGTAATTAAAACTAAAGGTCACGTACTCTTATGAGAGAGCATCGGAGCGTTTCGTAATTGAATGTCCGACAGATCTGTTACAAGACGTCGGTTATTGGCTTTATCGTTATCGTTACGGGGCCCCTGTCACTTACGGTTCCCCGAACGAATTTCATTTTCGTATCGGCGGATCATTGTCGTGCAAGATCGAACGATAATCCATTATAAGAAGCGGCGGAAGAAGAAGGAGATTAATCAATTTTATTCCATAACACTCCTTATCTTTTTATTCGACTTTCTTCGGGGCGCAGCCGCGCTTTCACGTCTTGTTAATATATTTGTGGTGCAGGTTTACGACCAAGTACCAGCGATGTATAAATTTTAAATAAATTCAGGCTTGACGCGTTACGGCTTTCTCATTGTGGCGGTACTTTTATTTAGTAGCTTTAGAGAGTATGGACTCTGCCAGAATTAGAACCATTTAATATTTCTGATAAAAGATAGTATCGAAGGAACTCTTAGGTGGGCAATTTGGTATCCAGATACCCACTTTCATATTTTCTTTAAAAATTGTTTGTGTTTTTGTGAAAATAGGACAGAATGCATCATATAAGCAAATTGTCAATATACAGGGTGTTCGACCATCCCTGGGAAAAAATTTTAATGGGAAGTTCTAGAGGCCAAAATAAGACGAAAATAAAGAATATTAATTTCTTGTCTGAGGCTTCGTTAGAAAGTTATTAAAAAATTTCAAATCACACTAAAAAAATTATATTTAGTTACAGGGGTCAATTACAAGTATTTTTGGTGAATAGACATACCCCTGAAATCCTACCCACTTTCGAGAAAAAAATTCCAGTAGGTACTGAAATTTTTAGGCAAAATTAAAAAATTTCAAATCACACTAAAAAAATTATATTTTGTAACAGGAGTCAATTACAAGTATTTTTGGTGAATAGACATACCCCTGAAATCCTACCCACATTCGAGAAAAAAATTCGAATAGGTACTGAAATTTATAGACGAAATTAAAAAATTTCATATCACAGTAAAAAAATTATAATTAGTTACAGGGATCAATTGCAAGTATTTTTGGTGAATAGACATACCCCTAAAATCCTACTCACTTTCAAGAAAAAAATTCCAGTAGGTACTGAAATTTTTGGACGAAAACAAAATTTCAAATCGTTCTAAAAAAATTATTTTCGGTTCCAGATATCAATCACAATCATTTTTTGTGAATAGACATATCCTCAAAATCCTAACCAGTTTCGAGAAAAAAATTCAATAAGTGGATAAATTTTTCGACGAAATTAAAAAAATTCAAATCATTCTAAAAAAATTATTTTTAGTTCCAGAGATCAATCACAATCATTTTTTATGAATAGACATATCCTCAAAATCCTAACCAGTTTCGAGAAAAAAATTCAATAAGTGTCTAAATTTTTCATTGAAAAAAAAAATTTCAAATCGTTCTGGAAAAATTATTTTCGAATCCGGGGATCAATGACAATTATTTTTGGTGAATAGACCTACCCTCGAATTCCTACCCACTTTCGAGAAAAAAATTCAGTACTGACGAAATTTTAAACGTTAATAACTTTTTAACGAACCTTGTATCAACAAATTAATATTCTTGATTTTCGTCTCATTTTGGTCTTTAGAATGTCCCATTCAAATTTTTTCCTGTATATCCATTATGCCTGTGTCAGATTTTATTTTGTAAAATTCAATAATATTTTCTTCCTGGTCCAGAACCAGGATTAAGGATAAATACAGTTGTTTTCACTCGTTACATTAGCACTTAACGTGCTTAATTCAGAATTACAATCTCTGTTTCATTCACTTTACTCAATAGTGGCAGAAACGTTATCTTAATCTCTTCGAGAACTGTCGGCGGATCTGCTGAGTCGGATGAACGCTATCTCGAACATTTGCAATTCCGATTTCGTTATCACAGGTGGAATGATTTATATGCACACGAGGGGAAACGCGAAGGAGCACGTTGGAATGTATTTAACAGAATCAATCAATATACAGCAACTGTATACAAATTCGACGAAAATATTTTAATTGCTTTTATACTCTTTAACTCTTTAACGATGTGGAATTAAAATTGAAAAAAGTATACTTTCCATTAAAATACTTTAGCTTCGAATATTACTTTTCAATACTTTATCTCGCGTAAAATCAAATGTGAATTCCAACCTGTTGGAACCAGCGACCGTAAGGTGTACGGATACATTTTTCACCGATTCCACGATGCAATTGGAACCGACGTTCTGGAGAAAAGTACTCGTAAAAAGTTTTCTAAACCCCTTCGACGTGTTATTATTCGCGCGTCGAAGGCGGCCCGGAACAAATTGCTTTTCAGTCGCTACCTTCGAGACGTGTTCGAGAAATCAATCGATATGGTTTTGTAGTTCTCGTCCATGAATATTAAAAACGAAACGTCGAGAACGAGCCTGTCCGGCAAGTGATATACACGTGGCGCGAAACGCGCTGTCAGAAGTGGCACGGTCGCGCATCCTGCTCGGTTAGGATCTCTCTGCCGCGATCGATGATCTCAGCCGCCCTGCCGTTCCACCCACGAAAAGGGAAAGTGAGATCCTACGGAGCTCTTCTTCCCATTCCGAGCTGATGGACGGTCGTTTTACACCGGCGACTTTCGTTTGTGTAGGAAAGGTTAATATATGCTAACGCTCGACCTGCCCTGTGTCATGAATCAACCGATGCTGGCAATGGTAATCCCTCTGGTATTCGTGCCACGATATTTTAGTGGACAATGGTAAATCAGCGACAGACCCCAGGCGGTAACCATACGCTACCACGCGTACCAATGATTCTCTGGATCACCATATCGCGTCGACGTTACCTTGACGATCGTGCAGGATCCACCCTGTTCCAGAACTCACGGATCAACCGAAACGAAACACGAATTTCTCGAATAATCGCTGTGAATCATCCTGAGGAAAGTTTCTGGAACGGTGTGTAACTTAGAAAATTTTGTTTCATTGCCTCGATCGATTCAAATTGAGGTTGTCTAGTCACAGGGGACCTTGGTCAGGTGTACACGTGGTTTGTGGAACGAGATTCGTTGAATTCTTGGTCAAGAATTGATGCATTGATGCAAGAATCAAATATTATAATTAGACTGCGGATGTTTATGCGTTTATAGGAAATTTAGATTTTCAAAAAACCACAGAATCCACTTAGTATGCAAAAATATAAAATTATTATATTTAGAAGTTCACTAATTCTGTTAATAAGAATATGAATGTGTATAAAGATTCCTAGTCTAGTTTTGACATTCGTAAACTTTATTAACTAAACTACGTTGAATATTAGAAGGATATTTATGGTCAAAATTTATAAATTGTTTCTTCATTAACACACTAGAATTATTCAGAGTTAATATATATATTTAATTGTTTTTTCTTTGACGATACTATGAATTGATAATACACTATGATTAGAAGCCCTAATATGTCCAACAGCGAGAAACATTTAAATTCTTTCTCTTGATCCATTGTAAAGTGCTTGTTCCTGTAAAGATCACTTGAAATTGCACCTAATATGACATTAGCATTGTCAAACTATCTATTATAGATTTTACAACCGCGAAGTAGAAATTACAAGTATACATATTTGACAGGGCATCTGAAATTATACATGTTTTTGATATTTCTTAACGCGTGGAACGAATGGTTTCAAAAGTTAACGATGACGAATTAAATTTGAGAAAACAAAGGGAAATTGATCGTGGATAATTTTCTCACAAACAAGTTTCGAATGTTTCGATTCATCTCAGCCCTTTCACAAACGCAAAATGTTAAATATGACGCAAGTGGCTAAGATTACGATCAGTAATATTCATAGATCGTGTAAAATCCGCAATTAGCTCTCGTACTGATAAATTACCCGTAATGCCATTTTACGGTATTATATTACCGATTACTTGACTTAATAAGCTCGTGCACTTTTTACTCTCAACAAATATTCATGCACGTGTCTCTTGTTTAAAAGTTCATCCAAATGTAAATAAACGTATTTCTCTGATTACGGATTAACGTTTCGTGCAAACAACAAATGAAACATGAGATATTGTTTTAAATACTCTCACTTGCATCTCTGTTTTACTATCTTCGATGATGCATTGGCGCCAAACAATTTGTCTCTCGACAAATATTACCAATTATCGTATAGCGGATACGTGACATTTATTACTTTGCGTTAAACAGTGATCATAAAATTAAAGCGCCACGCATTACGATCGTGCAACAGGTCTAAACAGGTCGAAAACTTGTTCAGAATTTTCGATGACGAAAATCAGAGCCTTCGTCGAGGTAATTGGACAAGGTAATCCCTCTTAATCGCTCCGGGGCAACCCTCATTCGATCCGAGCCTGACCGATGATCCGTGCATCGCAACACTCGAATCAGTTCATCATCTCGTCAGTGAAAGTCACCGACTGGTTGCGTAATATCGCGTCGATAGCACTTTGGAGCCAGACTTCTAGCCCAGCAATTACATATGTTTATTATACGATACCGTCGATTCGAGCAAATAGCTATTACTAAGATTTTAGAACGATTTAGATTAGTTTCTATTCGAAGATAATTCGTTCAACACTAGATTCACGGACACTCATTGCACGAATTTTTATTGAAATTTGTTATGTTGACAGTTACATTGAAATGTGGTTTTTTTTTAATTAGGACATTCGTATCATTATTTTAATCAAATTCGACATAAATCTTAGATTTACTTGCTCCTGATGATCTATGCGTTTTTCTTGTGAACATGAAAGTTATATTCAATCTTCTTCTCATGAATATTAAAATCTGATATTGTCTTAATTATATTATATTCAAAATACTGGTGAAACAAGTATTTTACTAGCCAAAAAATTCTATTTTGAGCTGGACTCGACATAGGATCAGGCTAGAATGAAATACAATGTCGAGTCCACCTCGATGTGGGACCTCAAAGGGTTGAGGCACCTCATGTGAAATGA